ATTCGTTATCTAATCAGAAATCGGAGGAAGCGTTTTTCGGTTTGCATTTAACGAAGCTGATTCCCCATATTTGACAGAAATCTAATTAGAAATTGGGAATATCAGAATGGAGAATGCTTCATGCTAAGCTTTACTCTAATCATCTGATGAGATCTAAGAGTAAAAGTCATTAAAGTCTTGATCTTAATTTTACGGTTTGGCTTTTGCAAGCTATATAGTCTAAACTCTTTGATAGAGGTTGGAATGTTCCTTTTATAAGTTAGGGATTTGAGTTTATTTTGAGTCTAAGGATATACTGAAATAAATTTTAAATCAAATATAATGCATACGTATAAATAAATTTATCACAATATGATAATAATTCACAAATATGAAAAGAAAACTATAGTTAAAAAACATATAAAAAACACTTAGCTAACTGCCTAATACTCGCTCACGCTTCAGGCTTGATATAGAGATGGCTTTCTTAAAAAGCTCATCCTCAACAATATGTATAAAACTAATATACTCGCGCTTCGCTCTCTGAACAAATGTTAAACTAAAGACATAAGTTTAGTTTCATTGGGTCCGGTCCAAGATTAGACGACTGGGTAAAGCAATCTATAAAAGAAATATACTTTCATTGGGACAGCCGTGAACAAGCATATAAATCAAAAAGAACTTCAGTTTCAATGCCTTTTAGCCAAACGAAGGAAAAACTGTTCATAAAAAATACTACAAGGGAAGCAAACAAACAAACAATGAAAGCAACAAGTAGAAGCATAAGTAGAGAAGGAGAGAGCGAGAGAGAGAGCGACAGAGAGAGAATAATATGCTAAAGTACTTTGCAATAATGAAAAATCAACAATCGTCACATCAACAAACCAAAACAAACAACAACAACAAAAATGTCAAATTAGAAGAAGAAGCAGCAGCCGACGAAGAAGAAGTAGATGTAGATGATGAATAATGAAAGTGATAATTGAAAAATGGAGAAATTGAGAACGCAAACATTTGCGAATCTATCAAATAAACCGAGCGAAACAACATTTTGCTGCAGCTTCAGCTATATGCCTTATGCCCTATCTTGCCCCTATCTGGCCCGCCCCTCCCCCTTTCGTGCTATCTATCGTTTTCAGTCTAATGCCATTCATTATGCAGCGGCTCGCACACGTAAAGCACTCTACGGCCCAATAAAAAACGCTCCATACATAGTTGAAGGACAGCAAAACGAACAAATACCAAAAAAATACCAGCAAAATAAGTTATATGCAAAGAGTGAAAACAAGCCATGAAATCTCATTTCATAGCCTATTTTTTCCCCTGTCGCTTTATTTCACTCAGCCGCAGCAATTACTCGGGGATTAGGCAACTTTAAGTGTTCGTTCCGCAAATCCCATTTGCCCACAGATTTCCGCTTCAGGTGCGGTTGTTTTACAGTTCATATTGCGAATTGATGAAGGGAATTAACATATTGGAAACCAAATTGAAGCGGGTGCTATTTATGCTTTGTCTTTTTGAAAAGAGTTTGTTTGGGGGCCTTCAGTTTTCTATTGTTATCGCATGAACTAGTTCGCTTTGGTTGAGTAAGTCAATATGAATTAGTTCATATTGATAAAATAATATAATTAGCTGAAGTAGTTCACACTAACGAACTAGTTCACATTGATGAACTAGTTCACATTGATATACTTTAATCTGTGGAGCTACTAGAATTTGATCTGCTAGTTCATATTGATAAACTAGTTCACTTCTCTAAACTATGACAGTTCGATAAACTAACTAATTTTGATAATCTAGTTCACTTTAATGAGCTAGTTCACCACGACAAACTTATTCATTTCGCATTAATCCTCCTACAATTTGACACATATACCAGTTCAATTTAATGACCCTGTTCAATTTGATGAACCAGCTCAATTGAACGCACTATCTGAGCGGAAAACCAGAGATTTAACTTGCCTAAGCTTGGGACTTCATTTTCATTAGGAAGTGGAAAACGAATATTATTTGTTTATTCTGCTCGAATCCTCTTCAAAGGTCAAAGGAGCCCCCAAGGACTTGACTGCCACTTGAGGTTGGGCACTCGAAGGAAATAAGTAAGATTGCTATGCAACGCAGTAACCAGCCTGTGGATACCCTCAACAGATCCTGTCGAGACTCTAGGAGCTGGGAGATATATTTGACGAGGTGCACATATTATGAAAAAACACATCATACTTAATAGGGAGAAAATATATGTCTTATACATTAGCAGACTGATGGGATTAGATCAAGGAGCTGAGTTGAGCTCAGCTAGCTCAGGGCCACGCCCCAGGCTACCTTTCATATACAAATTATTCGTAGCCCTTTGTCATCGATTAGCCAAAGTCTAGCTACTCTACATGATAATCAAATTTAACTGCTACACGCCCGCATTTATCTATCTCTTTTCCTATCTAGGGCCGTCCAAAATTGTTCTTATCTAGAGGCGGAAACATTTGTTCGACTTGCCCATTGTTGTTGGGGCTGTGTTTACAATGGTAAGCACTTACAATTATTTTGGATTGTACGCGTATTAGCACATGCCAAGTCAAGTGAATAACGATATCGAATACCCTGCATACATTATTTCCTAGGGGGCTATGCACGACTTACACTGTAATCATATGAAGCAAACCAAACCAATTTAGCAGCTATTAGCAGATCGAATAGTTATTCGAATAGTCTCAAGTATTCTCAAGTAGAATCGATCGATTTTTGTTTCTCCTTCGGCCATACCTCTTGAACCATATAAGCTAGAGACCCAAAGTGTTCATCATTTGTCAAAGAGACACTAAAAGGTGCATTAAAGTCGATAAGACTCTATAAGCACGTACATTGATTTTCCAGGGAATTTAAGCACTTTACGGTTCAGCTCGGCTGTTAGTCATATTTGACTAGAATTTTGAGCAATGCAGCAATTATTTTGCTATGGAGGAATTTTCTCAATTGTTGCAATGCAACAACGCGACGAGCTATTGATTCATTTTCTGCTATACCATAACACACACACACCCACACGCACATACACACACATAGGTGTAGACAGGTGTGTTTGACAGGTGTTTGGTCTTTGGCTCTTTGGATTTGGATTTCATAGCTTTAAATGCCAAAAGGAGCGGGCAAACAAATCTTTTGTCTGGCATAACCACAACAGGAAAGAGCAAGACAGAGAAAGTAAATAAAGAAAAAGAGAGAGAGAGATTTCGATAAGTAGGGTATTGTAGAAATTCGAAGCTGAATTGACGGTCTATTGAAAAATTTCGAAATGTCTACGAAATGTGAGCTGAATTTAATTACCATAAAGTTAGGGAAGCGAGGCAAGCAGAGACACGGAGACAAGCAGGGCGAGTCGCAGAAGGAGTCCCAGAGAAAGATGGATAGGGATATGGAAGGATAAAGAAATGGGACAAACTGAGAAATCGAGACTCAGAAGGAGACAAAATAAAAATCAGGCTAGAGAAAGAGGTGAGAGTAGATTGGTAAGATGAAAAGAGAGAGAGAGAGAGAGAGAGGATGAAGAAAAAGAAAGAGCTAGAAAAAGAAGTCGTCTCTTTGAAGGGAAAAATACTGAATGATAGAAAGAGAGAACATGATTGGGAAACATAATTTTGCGATTCAAGATAGACAAAAGAGAAGAGGAGCAAATAAGCAACCTCTATAAAAAAAACATTCCGACCAGTTGATGACTACTCTCGCACTTAACTACAACCATAAAGGATCGATGAGGAGATACCCTGTAGCGAAACCCTGTTTAACGAAACTTCAATTAGACTTTCGCGAAAAACAATTTGTACTTAAGCTGCGTAATCTGTGAGCCCCATACATCTATGTGTATGTGTATGTGTATATAGATGGATGTCTGAACAGGTGGTTGAGTTGATGGGTGGCTGGGTGGTTGGTTGAATAAAACTACAGTTGTTCTGTTTTGTTCGTCCTTCGGTTTGATTACTAATGCGCATTAAGATCTTGAAAATAATGCGAATGGGCATAAGAATGAGGAAGCTCGCAAATAAAAACGTTCACACTCAGCATGTTCTTGGGTTGGCTGTGAAGTGGACATGAAATGTGGCGATACACTGTTCACCAGCTCTGAATTGAGGCACATTGGTTTCGAATTGTCAGCTTTGCAGTGAAGCTCATCTGGTTAGCCCTGTGAACAGCGTATGACGTATTTTGATAGTAGCGATTCACTTGTATGAGTGTACATAAACACATCAATTAATACTTAATGACAGTATAACAGTATGATTCGATTGATTTGTGTGAATGTACATAAACACATTAAGAAATACTTAAGAGTATGACAATATAATAGCAAGATTTGGTTGACTTGTATAAGTGTATACAAATACATCGAAAATCAGTAGTAAAGTAGTATAACAGTTTTTCAGTGATAGCTTAGTAGTGTAACAAAATATATGTGTATTTAACAGTTATATCGAGAAGTACTTTATAGTATGACAGTATAACAGAATATATATCAATATTAGCTGAATTATTGTTATCCTGTTATACAATTAGCTATAGCAACAGAAGGCTTAAAGTTTAACAACATTGTACAATATATATAACAGTTACATCGCAATCTATAGAAAAGTATTACAGTAATGCAATACGTATGACCGTTACAGCTAGAAGTCGCTAGAGTAAGAAATACTCTATACTCAATTGCAGTATAACTGTAAAACATTACACATATATAAGTTACTGCAAGAAATACTTCATGCTGTAAGCTATAGCATGAAATGTCTAATATAGTCCTCTATACACATAACGGTGACAGCAAGAAATATAATATAGCTTAATAGTATAACAGAAGACCCGTATATATGTATGTACATATCAGACACAGCAGTTACTGCACAAAATACCATCAGTATAACAGAATACGGTTGATCCACACAGAAACAAAAACGGAATACTTAATAATATAACATTAACAAACAAACTGAAATAACTGAATATAATAGAATTATGTTGGCGACGGAAGCACTCACCTGTTTAAGTTCTCAGCTTAGCTGCGCAGGTAAATTGAAGAAATACCACCTGAATTAAACGTCTTGGAAATGCGAAATGGAAGCCGCTCAGATAGACATGATTAGTGTTATGTTGATGATGATCATGAATGATATCACTATATATATAGATACAAGTCAATATATTAAAAGTTCAGTACGCGAGCTAAAACTGTTGAATGTTTTTTGATTTGATTTCATTAAAATTTGATTTGATTGATCGAAATTTGTATTATATTTTGTTGCTTTTAGTTTCGATATTCGTCAGTTTTTGACACTCCTGCAAACACAATTATAACAACAACGCGTTAAGCACAAGCAACGGTAAAAAAGAGCACAACTTTCATTTCGCTCGTTTCGGCACCTTAACAAAAACAACAAAAAATATTAACAATAACAACAACAGCAGCAGCAGCAGAGGCAGCAGCAGAAGCAACAGCAGAGGGAACAGCGGCAGCGCCAACAGAAAGGCATACGCACATACACATATACGCATACACACACAGATAGGAGTGCAGCCGCTCTCACGAGCCGAAAAGTAGGCAATATTGAAAGTTTCGCGCGTTTTTTTCGTTGTTGTATCGCAACAGTATTTGCCTTTGCGCTGCTGTGGGAGAGCGGCAATTCGATAGAGCGGGGGAGTATGGCAGGGGTTGGTGGACCGTGCAAATAGGTAAGGAGAGGCAGAGAAAGAGTGAGAGTGAGTGAGAGAGGAGAGTTGTAAGTTGTAAGCTTGTGAGCTTGGTGCCATTCTTGTGCGCTGCCGCTTCGGTTTTTATGCCGAGTGCTGAACTGCGCTGATTTGCCTCCTGTTGCTGTTGGTGTTGGTGAAGCCGCTTCTGCTCTGCTGCTGCTCTGCCGCTGCGCTGCTCTGCCTCGTTTTTCAAACGAACTGTTTCGGCGTACGTTCAGCCGCAAACTGAGCCAGCGAGCGTCGAACGGCAGCAATTTAAACACCGCGACCCGAACATGGCGACTCCAAGCTTTTCGTATATCCGCTAGTCGTTAGCAAAGGCGCAGAGCTTCAAAAAAGCTCTCGGCCAATGCATTCTGCACGACGCACGACGCCGACAACGCTGCTTCTGCTGCTACTGCTACTGCTGCTGCTGCTGCTGCTGCTGCTGCTGCTGCTGCTCTGCTATCGCTGAGGCTGCCTCTTTTGGATCAAAGTATTTCAGCAAATGCTAAAATACGAAGCTCATCAAACACAACAGCAATACGAATGGCAGCCCATATACCGACCAATGGGAGGCCACGAAGCTGACGAATGCCGACTTCGTGTCTTCCATTGCAGATCGCAGCTTATATAGAAGCGCTGCGATGCAACTTCAGAAATCGCTGTCGCTGTAGCCTACCAACGCAAATTCGATGTCATTCGTGTGTGTGCGTGGGTGTGGGTGTGGGTGTGGGGGATGCTTACCTGAAAGATATACGAAAAGAGAAACATATATTTATATACACAATTTGTAATTTGCCATTATGACTGCAACTGCAACGGCAGCTGTTATAAGATTACGCGCATACAGCACTTGAATAATTTAATAGAGCTTATAGAACTTTAGAATAAATGGCTTCAATATGAAACTTAAATAGCGATGCCCATTGAGGAAGTGACAAACTAGAAACACAAGAAAAGCTTCTACACTTATTTCACACATATTATTATAAATTCGAGAACTTGGAAATCTCTTGAGCATTTACAAATATACTTAAATTTTTTTGACTGCAACGAACCAAATTCTATTAAAATAATATTAAATATTGAAATGCTGAAATATTGAAAATTTGTCAACTCAGCTTTTCCCTAAAAACTTCATCGCAAATGTTTTGCACTTAACGGGAATTCGAAAAATGTATAGCCTATATGTATACAATCATTACAGGTGAAAATTATTAGCTAATAATTTATAAATCAATAATATTATAAATCAATTCATTTTCCTTTACTTCTTACTTTCTGGAAAACTATGAAACTTCAAAAGATTTTTATCTCGGCAACAAAATTGGAAAATCTTTGATGATGCATTCAAGTGCAGCAAACGGAACTTATTTCCTTTTTTTTTAGGTAAGGAAAAAATTGCATATTCGATGCGAAATCTCTGGAAAACTTTGAAAAAGCAGCAAGACCTAATCTTTGCGATTGGCAAATCATTTCGTATTCACTTTTCACAAATTAAAAAGTTTAACTTTATATAAATGTATGCTAATTCACATTTTCCCTAGTTATGCTAGAGTTAAACTTTTTAATATAAATTATATACATATATTGTATAAAATTATATAAGTATATTTTCTTTAAATTTGAATGAGATTCGCAAAAATATATATTTATTCATTTGCTCATTTGTTTATTCGGGCAATTGAATCAAATTGCTGGCAAAAAGGACTTTTTCAGCAGCGACGCAATTGCAGCCGAGGACATTTCGAGACAAAATCTATTTTTATCTAGCTATTTACTTATTTACAATTATTATTATTATTATTTTTTTTTTTTTTTTTTTGCAAATATTAAGAATAATTAATAATTAATAATTAATAATTAATATTTGCTCATTTGTTTATTCGGGCAATTGAATCAAATTGCTGGCAAAAAGGACTTTTTCAGCAGCGACGCAATTGCAGCCGAGGACATTTCGAGACGAAATCTATTTTTATCTAGCTATTTACTTATTTACAATTATTATTATTATTTTTTATTTTTTTTTTTTTTTTTTTTTTGCAAATATTAAGAATAATTAATAATTAATTTTTTTTTATTGTTTTACCTAAGAAAAGGTGAAGTTGCACTTGAAAAAAAAAACTTGTGTTCCACTTGTAACTTGTTTGCACAAAAATAAACAGCAAAAGTAAAAATTGCGCGTCCGGTCAGGAGACCGAACGCCTTGAGGAGGAAACTTAATTTGAAATTGCTACTTGGAGATTGAAGTGTTTGGCGTCATTGGCAAAGCTAATGCAGTTGCCGCTGCGCCAGCGAAAGCGCACCAGCCGAAACTCTCTCCGGCTCTCTCACATTCACAGGAATTGCGCGGTGGTGGCCGAAAAGCTAATTAGAGAGAGAGGAAAGAGGGCGCAAGCGCAACGGGATATAAATTTTTGGCGGGAGCTTTGGGAAGCTTTGATTGCATTTGAATGTCAATTCAAAATTTGACTAAAATCGTCCATCCTTCCCTTTCCCTCTTGCCTTTGAGCTGCAGGTGAGAGCGAAATGGCAGTAACAGCAGAGGCGGCCAATAACAATGCACCTCTGGCACACCCACACACACGAACACGTACAAGCTCTCGCTCCCTCTCATGTAACAGGTGTAATATAATAACAATAACAATACTGTGTCTATTACTACGTACATGTACATACGCATATGTACATATGTATAAGCATGAGAGTGAAGCTGCAACACTAATGCAATCGCGAAGTACAAATATGCATTCATGTAAATTCAGCATTCAGCCTCTGTCTCACATTCAGGCGCGCGTTCTCTCCTTTTCCCTCTGCAAGTGCTATTTGTGTGACAGGCAAAATGACAATTAATCAGGGCAGCTACCTACATATGTATCTGTGTATACAACTTACAATATGAGCCGCTTCACTCTGTCCAGCGGCTATGTCCAGTACACCAATCGTAATCACAATCGCCGCCTCAATTAATTTACGAAGGATTCTGCGACAAACTGGTTACGCCTCTTCTTGGACAGCGTTCTAATTAGTAGAACGACGTCATGACCCATTATACATGCATATGTACATATATATGTAATTCATTCGGCTTAATTCAACCGCCGCTTCAACTTGTTTTTTTTGCCGGCGCCATATTGCATGCCATTCACAGCGATCAAAGACACTTAACATGCGGCGAATTCGCAAGCACGCGTCTGCTTTGGTCTCTGCACACACAGACACATACATGCGTGCATACGTGTACTTATTTATGCTACCAATGAAATTCGCTTGGTTTAGTTTTCCATTTAACATGGCTTAAGCGATGCACGCTCATTTATTTCGATGACATTCTCAGCGGGTCTTCTGAGTGTGGCGAATTCGCTTACTTACACTTGCATACATACATATACATATATCTATGTTATGCTATGTCTAACTACATACATATTTTCTGTAATTAATCAATGTCAATGGAACTCTATTTGTTCCAGGCTTTTTTCTATCGTGCTATCGTTTCGTTTCTCCCATTCCATTTTTGACAGCCTACGAGTTCCTTTTCGAGAATTCGTTCTTTCTACTTCAGCCGTCGCAGCGTTCAGATCACTGTCTAAATTATCTGGAATTTTCTTAACAATTGTTTTATTTTTATTTCATAAATAGGTAAGTATTACATTATAAATTTGGTTTCTTAAGTAATTCGTTATTCGCAATTCGCTGCGCTCACCGCCGACAACGAAGGAGTCTTGCCAAAGCCACGGCAAGACATTCGCGCAAATTTCCTCTCGCAATGGCAGCCATATTTTTTTTTTTTTTTTTTTTTTTCTTCGGAATTTGAAGTGGACTTTTTTGCTTAGCTTTTCCTTTTCTTTTTCTTTTTCTTTTTCTCTTGCATAAGTATATGTTGTGCATGTATGTTTTTTTTTCTTCTTTTTTTTTTATGCGCCTAAAACTAAAGCATAGTCGTTATATATATATGTGTGTATAGATGTGTGTGTGTGTGTGTATGCACTTAAGTGGCATTTGAAAGCTACAAAAATAGGGAAGCTAAATCGTAAAATGAGGCAATCACACTTGGCCGACTGCACAATACACGGCTTGTTTTTTTTTTTTTTTTGTGTGTTTGTTTGTGTTTGTTAAGATATTTGAGGTTAAGTTTTACATTAATTACATTATCGACATTGCAAATATTAATTATTCTTGTTTAAATATACATTCAGGTCTTATTTTAGCTAGTTTTCTAAATATGTGTTCGACTGCAAGTTGCTCTGCTATACAATTAAATAATACAAATTTGATAATTTTTGGTTTCTTCAGATTACATACATACATACAGGGGCCTCTTAAACAATTAGATTTCGAAAAACCTCCTGCTTGCGAAATATTCTGTTTTACAGATAATATTCATACACGGCTAATAATAGCAAATATCCAATTGGCTTTACAATCATTTGCATGTAAAGAGCACTGCTTGTACACTAGCATATCATTGCGGGTCGACTGACCACGTCTTAGATTAGGTATATGTATGTTAAGGGAATATGTGTGAGGGATGCACATAAAGCTAGTTTCGCGTCAACGGACAGGCAAACGGGGTGTGCGGGCAGCTGACTTAGAACATGCCATCGGATCTGGCGACCGGAACGAGCACAATCAGAAAAATAACCAGATTACGCATGACCAAGCGCCAATCGTTGGGCACGGCATATGGCAGCAGGATCTGTGTGAGGCGATGCACCTCGTGCGAGGCACAAACGAATATGAACGATGTGATGATCATGTTGAGAGTGGGAAAGCCGGGCAGTAGCACCAGGACGCCATGCCTATCGGCCGCTAGCCAGATGTGATATTGGCACACGAACAGCTCGAGTGAGATGCGCCCGAACCAGGCGAAGAATGTGGAATAGCGTGTCCGTAGGATGCCCGAGATATTGCGTAGCACAACATAGCCGATAATTGGTATGAACAGAATATACGAGTGTATCTCCTCACAGTTCTGAACGTTGCGGCACAGAAACGAGAAGGACGTGTAGATGCCAACGCCCAGAAGTGCGAGCAGTGTCACCGATATCGAAGTGCGTCGGGAAAACAAGTTTCCATGGTTATTATCGTCGAAGATGCTGTACTTCTGGGCGATGTGAAAACAGGCGGCATATATCATACCGAAGGTTACCGTGTAACGGTCCAATTTCCACTGATACCACCACTCGTGGATATCATCGTCGGTTGTCACAAACAGCGCCTTCCACGGACGCGTCACGAAGATCCGCTCGAAGAAAACTTCCGACATGAAGAGGACCGTTATAACGCCCAGGCATCCAATACATTTGCATACCAGGTAGAGATAGTGCAAGGGATACGCATCGACCGAGGCGGTCGTGATCCGAGGCGGCAGGGATAATACGAAATAAATGACGCAAACCCAGAAGGAAAGCAGAGGCACGAAATAATAGAACTGATATGGACGGTTCATGCAGAAGCAGAGCAGAACGCAGAGGAAATTGAGGCGAAACATCTCCTGGAAGAAGCGCACAAACATCGAGCCGCTGCCGCCCGTTTGCCAAATGTCCGTGAAGTGCGTGTAGCCCGTTAGAAAGAAGTAGCCAGATATTAAGAGCTTGATGTGCATGTGAATCGGTAGAACCCGTTGGGCCCCAGTCATATAATAGATGAGCACCACCAGCAATATCCAACCGCGCAGCTCGTCCGTCTGATGGCGATTCAGGACTTTGGTGAAGCCCGACTCCTCGGTGAAGAAGAGACCCAAGGCGAACACATAGGCCACGGGTATCCAGAAGCTGAACTCCGAGTAGTATTTGTTCTCCTTCATAAAAAAGTTCGTCCGATCGCATAGATAGAAGTAGGCGAGTATTAGGCCCAGCAGGGATAGCGCCACTAACGGTGTGCCGTAGTCGCTGATGAGCAGTGTCAGGGAGTGCGAGGGATCTCTGTGATGGCATGACTGGCCCCTCAGGTGACTGTCCGCCTGCTGCTGTTGCTGCTGCTGGTGGTGCTGCTGCAGCGGCGCGTAGAGCGTGTGGCCCCGCAAATGCAGCAGCCAGCGGCGCAGGCACATGCCACAGACGAGCACAATGCACACGCCAAATAGAGCATAGGCGACTATCTGCAGGCTCGTGTGTTGCTCGGCGCTGCTGCAGCAGGTGCCATCGTTGTAGTTCATCTGGTCGTTGCAGTACATGTTCCAGAGCAGCTGCACCTCAAGCCGTTGGCCGTGCGCACTCAGACGATGTCCCTCGACGGCAGTGTCCAGTAGGCCGTTGGCTATGTGCCACGCCGATTCCCAGACACTTGCGTCCGTGTACCGAAACACGTTTCGCGCCACATTGTTCAGGCGGTCGATGTCCTCGTTGAGCACCAGCTTCCACGTCGCGGGCAGCTTCTCCTCGTCCACGCGCTCCGCTAGCTTCCACAGCACACGCGACGCTTGCGCCACCAAACGGTGAATCGGTGCTACGAGCAGCGTTAGATTCACGCTGTACTGATGCAACAGCTCCTCCGTGACGTTCCCTGCCAACAGTTGGCTGTAGGTCAGGCCCAGCACATAGACGGAGGAGCGCTTCTTCTCCATTTCCAGCTGATAGAGCCGATCGATCAGTGCCGGGCTCACCTCCTCGGCGTGTATATATTGCGCCAGCATACCCAGCTTCTTGTCCTCGAAATGTGTTCCATTGGAGGAGGTGGAACCGTTGTTGTCGTATTCATTGGATCGTGGCAGCTGCAGCTGCTCCACAAATCTCTGATACAGCAGTCGCACGCTTTGATCTCCGATAAAGACGAAATTGTTCTTGTTGTTGAAAAACGCCAAATAGCGTAAGCAACGTCGCGTGTCACTATAAAAAAGGAGATAATTAAATATGGAGCGATAAGAATTTGGCATTTGGTGAATCAGCAATTAGGGCGGAGAAACCAAGATCTAAAGCGGGTATACATGGCACATCAATCATGTTTAAATACCCCTTTTAAGCCCAATTATGATAAAACAAATTTAGCCATCGATATTTATCGATATTACCCATATACCAAGTTTAATGATCTGAAATAATATAATATTACAGCTTTACTCAATATATTGGAGAATCTGAGAGAACGGAACCATAAACAGCCAAACTTTAGGGTTTCAAGCGCAAAGAGCAGGAAGAGTCTACTGCAAAAATGAAGCTACAGGGTATAGAGGGGTATGAACTCACGTGTAGGTGTATTTGTGCATCATGCAACCATAGGGCTGCCATTCGTTATCGCCCTTGAAGCGACCCTTGGACAACAGCCACTGGCAGGAGTCGCTGCCTGGAAATTACGAAATAATACTGTATTCGAATTATTCCGATAGGCCAAAGCGAATCGATAGCGCACCATAGTTCCAGTTGAGCAGGCCATGGTAGAGCACAAAGCCGAGCACCAGCAGTAACGCCACCTTCTTCGCATTTGTCGCATTCAGCTGTTCCATGAACAGATCCGCTTTGGTTGGCATACGCTGGACGCCGCCTTCGGCAGAGCTTCCGATGCAAATGCCGCCCAGTTCACCGCTGTTAACGTTGGCGGCGGCAGCGGCAGCGGCACGCAGTCCGCGCAACTCCATGATAACCAACTGCAGTCACTGCGCTATCGTCAAGCCGTCCAATTTTGCAGTCTTTGGCAGTGCTTTAGCTTTTACCTGGTGTCCATTTGCATTCTGTTTGACCCAATTTTTGTTCTTTTTCTATCGTCTGACCCGTTGCACAAAGCTTTTCGCAGCGCAGTATCGCGGTTTTGCCTTTGCGTTACGGCCGTCCGATAGGCGACGGCCCTTTTCTTATTGCTAATAATCGCCTGCCGCCACCCACAACTCAGCTGTTTGCCGGTGATATGTATCGATATACACATATTGTTCAAACTGTGGCGTTCCTAGTGTGAAAATAGCGCAATTGCATAGCTGATTTTAATTTTATGAAAGTTAACGTAAACTTAATGGAATCATCTTAGTTTATATGCTTTGACCAGAACTACAGCTGACCGATAAGTTTTCTTATGGCAAATGATCGTCTGCCGCCACCCAGCAGCCGCTGCACAGCTGTTTGCTGCTTAAATGCATAAATTTCCGCTCAACTACGACGTCACAGTCGCGCAGTTAACGGAATTGCGCAGCTAGTAATTTCTGTATAAAAATGATCATGAACTGTATATAAACATATTAGTTTACGTGTAAAGTATAACAAATTCTATCTATTCGGCCAGCAATCAATCCTTATTGGTTAAAAATTCAAGTTCGTCAATTCAGTGTAACCTCTTCTGTTTTGCATACCTGCGGCGAACACTTAAATGAACGCTAAATCTAAAGCGCCATCGCTGTGTTTAACCTCGTTGGCAGTGCATGCATATTTTTGATAGTTCATATATGAGAACATTCACGTAGTTACCTTTTGATGGAAAACGTCAAATCAAGTAGGCAGTTGTGATTTCATAGAATAGTTGTTATTCATTTGTATGCTGTGCGCTCACCTGGTGAGACTTGTTTTCGAATTGTATGCCTGCGGCGAATTCACGTGTTTATTTATTATTGTTTTGACGTTTCCATTTTAGAACAGCTTGATAATGGAAGATTTGCGCGCCTTAAACAACTGCGAGCCCTTCAAACAGCTACGCACTGGACTTACTAACTATCATACCCTTGTGAAGCCGTTGAATAGCTTCAACTATATTAGTGGTAAGTTTTCGTTTACGAAATGAATTAGTGCAAATCGTCAAATGCCGCCGCTTCGCTTCCTTTCAGGCAATGATCAACCAATCAAGGAAATAGCAGAAGTTGTGCTAAATGTGCTACTGGAGCATAACCTGGTTATTGAAAACATATTTCTTGTTAAGGCTGAGGAGCATCTGGAGGTCAAAGTGAATCCTGCTGCTGACTTGGATCGTCTGCGCGGCATACTAATGTATTTGATACTGAACAGCGCAATGGGCAAAAAGGAGAAGGAGCTGGAACTGGCCAAGTGGAACCCGCAGTTTGTGCATTTGCTCAAACAGCTGCCGGAGCCGTTGACGCAGGTTTTGACTGTGAGCATCGCTCTGCTGTGCGGCCTCCACGAGTTGCTCTTCGAGTTCTTCGCCTATGGGCCCGCCTGGCTAACATCTCAATACTTCGATCGTCTCAGCGGTGTCCTGGGCCACTTTGTGGAGAATAAGGTGGATACGCTCACGTACATTGGCGGCGCCCTAAACGCCGTGACTAACGCAATCTGCTATCGATACTCAATGCCCATCATCGACAACTCGATGGCGCTGCTCCAGCGTCACTTGCTATCCAGCGAAGAGCGTCTGCGCAGCGCTCTGCCCACCAGCAGCGGCCGCAACCGCTATTTGGCCAAATCGATTTGCATGCTGCTCGATGTCGTCGTCCAGATCTTGAATTGCCTGCAGAAGCCGCCACGGGCTCCCAATTACGCGTCCATATATGCACTGCACTCATCGCCCGTGCATCCGGACAATGTTCCTCTGCCCTCGGCTCAGCAGCAGCTGCAGATCTTTGGCTGCAAACTAATGGACTCCGTCCAGCTGCTGTTGCAGCTGATCAGCGTGGACACCTATATGACCTGGCACGAGATGAAGTCCGATCACGTGCTCTTCAACATGCAGGCCCAAGTGAGCAACCGGTGCCTGAAGGTCACCCAACTGCTGGCTTCTGGGCAGAAGGAGCACGAGTCGCTCTTCAATCATTCGCTCAATTCTCAGCTCTCGAACTTTGTGGGTGGCGCCCAGAGCTTCGAGCAGTGCCTGTCCGACCTGACCCTGGGCGAGCTGCTCAGCTTTCTGGACGGCGAGTCGGGTGAAGCTAGTGACGAGGAACTGTCTAAGGCGCTCGATGAGCTGCTGTCCCGTTCCATTTGCTTCGGCAGCGCTGAGTGTGTCCAGAGCATGGTCAAGCACAAGCATCTCATGGGTGCAAAGCATCTCCTGCTGATGATTGAACACTTGGGTCAAGTGGTGCAGCTGCGCAAAGCAGAGGTTGAAGAGATGGACGGGATCAAGGCCGAAACCGCCGCTGCCAATCCGGCAAATGGGCAGGAACAGGCAAGGAATTATAAAGGTCCACAGGACGTAGTTCACACTGAGCCGCCAAATGCAGGCAATGCAGCCAATGAGCAGGAGACACAGCCAGAGCTAATGGATATCGAGCTGCCAAGCAACGCAGGGCGCCGTGAGCAGGAGGAGGAGGATTTGCATAATATGCAGCTAGATGTGATGAACAATTCCAGCACTTCCAGTGGGGACGACGATGATTCGGACCACTATGACTATGAGATAGCCGATGTCAATGCTCCGTATACCGAGCTCATAAACAGCCTGGTGCTACCGCTCTACCAGAGCATTACGGACACCCAGGTGAAGATGGACTTGCTGCATAAGCGCGATCAGCTGGATGTGCTGCATCAGTTCGTGTTCTATCAGCCACAGTATATGTCACGCCGCATCTTCTTCTACAATCAGCTGGGCTACTGGAAGGACAACTTCCCAATCAATGAGTTCCTCGATCTGTGCTTCGAACAGCCCGAAGAGACCTGGCTGGACTTTGCCCGTTTGGGCATGAAGCATCAGAGATTCTGTCTGCTCTACTTGACTACCATCAAGCGTTTACTGCCCCACTCTCTGATTCTAATGGAATCGACCGTCAAGAGCCTGCTGAACGACGTCCAGCTGGCGACCCAAAGCGCCACCACTCAGTATGCCACGGCCTCGACGGAGATGCTGCTGTGTCTCTACGAGCAGCCCATCCTATTGCAGAGGATCGACACGCCTGTGGCAGCGCTGATGCTGCAGCAGCAGAAGCTGCCCTTCCGGCAAAGTCAGGAGCGCTTCTTGGCTGACCTAATCGAGGCCTTGTCCAAGTTCTCCCTGAACAAGAGCTTCTCAGCCGTGGAGAAGACAATGCTAGTGCTGCTCCAGCTGGATTCCGTGGAGCGGCAGCTGATGAAGACTGCCAAGGATAAGGTGAAGTCCAAGCACTCTCATCTCAATAGATTGTTGCAATCCAAGGCGAGGACAAATTCCAATGCCAAGAGTTACTCATCATCGATCATCGCGGTCGCAGTGCGCCGAGCGCGCCATCAGCTGCAGCTGGCCAAGGCCCAAATGATTCTGCACTACTCATTCCACAGATACAGAAGCACCAACTGGGACATCATCGCCCAGGTGGTCCTAAGCATGGATCAGCTGAGGGCGAAGCCAGAGAACTTCCACCGGAAGCGCATCGCAGCGCTCGACCAAACTTTGAAGTATTACATAAAACATGCGAACCGCTTGATAACGAGCAACGAGGGTGAGTCCCTGTCAGCCAAACTGTATTTGTAACTGTGTTCATGTTGTTGTCCTATGTCCTGCAGTGTTGCGTGGGCGCTTGCGCCTGCTGATTGCTGAGAAGGTGGAGCACAAACACTTGTGGCACAACGAGGAGCTGGATTTGCTAAGGGATGCAAAGCGTTCGATTAGCGAATATACCAAGGTGAGCTAAAGCAATTTTAGTAATTGCAATAAATACATATATATAAGTATGTATGTATGTTTGTATGTATGTATGTATGTATGTACTAAATTGTTACTCTTGCAGCTGCTTAGCGTGGCATCGACTGTGGAGTCGATTCAGTTGCTGCGCTGCGCGATTCGTCTCAATTTTGGCTTGGCTGTGCTGCAGCGTTTCTCTGATCAGGTGGATGCCATGAACTCAGACAGGGCTCAGAATGCGTACAACTTTACATTTAAGTGCTACATGCAAGTGCTCTACTGTGAAATGATTCAGCACGCCGACCCCAGCAAGTATCCGCTGCTCATTGAGCACATTCTGCGCGCGCCAAAAATCGCGAATCCGGAAAATATACTTTCCGCCATGTCGAATTTTAAAGTTCTACTTCGTCCCACTGGCGTTAGGAGCCAAGCACTCATACAGCGCTTTATCGCTGAAAGTCTAGCTTTAGCCAACCGCATCTGAGAGTTCTACATCAAAAACTATGTACACTTATTTTTAGTATAACGCAAAATTTTGCGTATCAACAAAATTTTAAATTAGACTTATGGCGCCATTGAAATCGTCGCCTAAGCAACAAGGCTGTTATGATACGCTACACGTGAAAGGAATATACATAAAGCATAATATGTAGCCAGAAACATTTGTAATACACATGAACACAATCACATACACTATCATTTTTCGATATTGGCGCCAATGAATTCGCCGTCAATATTTTGTCACCTAAGACATCAAGGGAGCAGCTTGACGCTGTTTAAAAAAAAAAAAAAAAAAACATGATATGTATAACAAAAAAGACGATGTGAACACAAATAAATAAAATATATTCAAATAAATAGAGTTTTAATTGTCAGCTCAACTAATCAACTCCTTTCAACTCTCGTATATCAAGACTTCAAATGGTGGCGCCTATGAATTCGCCGTCGTACTGCCATTTTCTTACAGCACAGGGCTGCAATAAAATGAATTACATATATACCGAAACATGAATAAACAAAATACGAATAACTATGTAAATAAAAAGAAAGAAAGTCATTGCTTCTTACAGAATTTATTTTATTATTAATTTAAAATTTAATTATTTGCACACAAAACACATGGTTGCAATGATGCGATAGAATTATCACACGGGTTTTTATATCGATCTGGCAACTCAAATTACCGGCTGGTCTGGTACACTATTTGGCTGACGCATGCGTCTTGCAGAACATGTATGACGGCGGTGACTGAATTTTTTTTGCATACGAAGTTTTGGCTGCTGAAAAGTACGGAAGCAGAAGTGCGTGAATTAACGTAGTGAGGAAAGCCAAACATTTGTTAAACACATATTACACATTTAGCGGCTCGCGCGAATTGCAAACAACACACGTTGATCGTCGGTTTTTTTTTTCGCACGCAGCAACCTCGTGTATTTAATTTTTTTGCGCATACATTTACCGATATTTTTTGGTGGCCACTCAGACAAGCACAGGCAGGCACACACTAACACATATATATATACACAAACACAACCAAAGCAACGACGAAGACAAGAGTGAGCGACGACGACGACGACGTGAAGCGCAGTGAAGAAGAAAAAAAACAAGCGAAATCGAAAGCAAAATTTGTCGAGTCGAGTCGAATCAAAAATCTTTAAAGTGTGCTAAGCTAAAAAAATAAGAATAAGAATTCACATTCGAATTTGAATATTATAAAGTATTTCCGAAAATCGAAACGGAATAGCGCAAATAAGGCACATACACACAGAGAGGCCCATAGAAAACGTAAGTGGGCAAAAATGTAATCACAAGTAATTGCATTTATTTAATTATCGTTCGCCAGGAAACAACAGCAACAGCAGCAATTCTGTGGACGGACAGGAATCGGTAGCAACTATTAGTTATTATCAGCAGTAGCAGCAGCAGCAGAAGCAGCAGCACAACAACAACCACAAAATGAATAAAACAGCACAATTCGAAGCTCCGCTGACCATTGAGCCAGAGCATGAGTTGCGCTTTGTTGGTAAGTGTATATGTATATTATATATTGAGTACGTATGTGTGCGGCTGTTCGTGTGAATCGTATTGTGTATTAGAAGAAGAAGAAGCAGAAGCGGTAACAGCCGCAGCCACATACATGTATAGGTACGAACGAGTGTTTATCTGCATTTATGCATTTGCATTTGCATTTTCCTTTGCATTTGTTTTGTTTTGGACTTGACAAAGAGAAGGCCACTATCGTGTGTGCGGCGGCATATCGATCACTATTTTTTAAGACACCGATGGACAGTTGAATGTGTATTGTAAACATTGCCGCTGGTCAATTGCGGCGGCCGAGCGAGCAAACTGCAAAGTTCACACGAACTCACACATGCACGCGCGCACACACGCATACTAATGCATGACTGACGCAGGGCCGCTTTGCCGACATGTTTCTCTCTCTCTCTTCTCTTCACTTTGCACTGTACGTTTTGCTTTTTTTTTTTCTACACAGCTTATCAATAATTTTGTTGTATCACTTTTGTTTTTTGACATATTTTCGAGGGTACGTGTGTGCGGCTGTTTTGGCATGTTGCTGCCAGCAGCGGCAGCGGCCGTGGCGTCTTTTTCATTTTGGAAATGCCGCCACTCTTCCTTCCTCTCTCACTCTTGCGCTCTCTGCGTATTACACGCGCTCTCTCTCTCTCTCTCTGTCTCCCTTGAAACCTTTGCCGCTGTCTTTTGGCTAACATTTTATTTTTATACTCAACAGCTTTTCATAAGCCATTTTTTCTTTTCTTTTACTTTTTGAATTTTGGCCAAATGGCAACAACAACAATGCATATGACAGCACGCTTTGATTTGTGTTGCGCGCACAGTGGGCTATAATGCAGTAAAAGCTAGACACAAATAACACTGGCCCCTCATGTTGACCACGTACATAGTTAGCCTTTGCTCACTGTACATTCATACATATGTCAAAGCATGTGCTAGTGCATATTACACACACTCACACACACGCATACAGGCATGGTCGTCTGCCGTTAACTATTTCCCCAACGATCTTCGGTGACAGACCGCACACACACACACGTGCATAAGACATACATACGTGGCCTATATAACACTCATACGACTGTCTTACTGAATGAATTTCCCTTGGAAATAGAACAAAATCAGAATCACCAAACAAAAAAGTTTTGCTGTGCCTTGCTATGTGCGTGTGTTTGCATGCGCGCGCCTGTATGTGCATATATGTGTGAGTGTGTTTTGCTTTTAATTCAATTAATTTGACATGAAGAGCCAAAAATGATGGCTCTAAAGTGAACAAACATTAGAATACCCTATAAAAAGAGATATGCATATGCGGGTGATGTCAGGTGCGAATCGTCTTATTGACAAGTAGATTATCGGGCGCTGCCTATATACCATATGTATATATATTATATACACGGATTGGCTGAATAGGAAGGCTAGGCCACAGCTCACATGAATGAACCCATAGCCAAACAGCTGGCAAAATAATCGAATAATATTTTATGCAAACAAAGCCCGTTTCGCACGTAGCGAATATACCCAATTAGAATGACGCAATAGGGCAGAGCTTTAGCATTGATGCGAGTCGGTTTGTTGGGGAAACTTAAAAGGATATTTAAGCCAGAGAGCGGATGTGCGAAAGGGTAATGACACCCCGGGATCTTACCTAATAGTCAAAGGATATTATTAGAGTGGGACATTAATAGAAGAGAGCGGGCGAGTAAAAGGAAAGTAGAGCTACAACTAGCTACGGCGGGATCTGAGTTCAGAGTGAAGACAGTGCTGAGAGCACAAATTCCTATTTACACATATTTTCAATTAAGTTTTATAATAAAACACTTGCATATACATATAAATACATAAATATATACCGCAATATTTCATTTATCCTCGTCCATTTTACAGGTCCTTTCAATCGACCAGTGGTGACAATCATGACCTTGAAAAACAATTCGGCCAGGACACTGGTCTTCAAAATTAAGACCACCGCTCCAAAGCGCTATTGTGTACGTCCAAATATTGGAAGGATTGCGTCTTATCGTACGACGCAGGTGGAAAGTGAGTAGAGCGACGCGACTGATAATCTAAATATGATTCTATAATCTTGTTCTTTCTGCTTTATGTAGTTTGCCTGCAGCCTTTTATGTACGATCAGCAGGAGAAGAACAAGCACAAGTTCATGGTGCAAAGCGTGCTGGCACCGCCCGAAGCGGATTTGACTGATTTAAACAAGTTGGTAAGCAGCTGTAGTTCCTATCCATCCAAGAGGGGGACTCGCACCCTCTTCTCTGTGTCTCGCTCGCTCTAACTGCATGCATATTGTTTGTCATTCCAGTGGAAGGAATTGGAACCTGAACAGCTTATGGATGCCAAGCTTAGGTGCGTATTTGAAATGCCGCCCATGGAGGACAATGCAGAGAATAATAGTGGTAGCGGCGCCGCCGTCGTCAGCGGTGCCGGCTCGGCCAGTGCCGGCGGCAGCGTGGGCACCAATGCGCCGGCATCTCTCAGCTCTGGTGAGGCGCTCAAGAGCGATGTAACTGTGTCGTCCGCTCCGATGGTATGTGTATGGGATCATACTGACAAAGACTTGCAACTAATTTACATATATACCTGTTTAATCACAGAATATGACCGATGCGGAATATGCCGCAGTCCTGGCGAATGAGCTGAAGGAGCTACGCGACTTGAATGGGGAAATGCGAAAAGAGATTCTACATTTGAAGGCAAGTTGATACAATCATAGTGTTTACACATATACATAATGGATGTTTCCTTCTTCTTATATATAGGATCAAGTCACACGCTACCGTAGCTCTCCGGCCGCCAAGCAGATCAATGAGCCCTATGCTCCGGTTCTGGCTGAGAAACAGATTCCGATCTTTTATATAGCCATTGCAATTGCTGCCGCCTTTTTTGGTCTGTTGCTGGGCAAGTTTTACCTCTAAATGCCATAACAACAACAGCAACAACAACTATAACAACAACAACGAACACAACAGCAGCAGCAGCCACACAGAAACAAAAGCAAATACAAACATTTGTGGCACTCTCTAAAAACTTAACAACAATTGGTTCATATAATTGCTCATTTGAACTTAAAAATAATTTTCTGTTATACTATATTCAGACTGCAACAGCAGCAGCAGCAGCAATAACAACAACAACAACAACAGCAGCAGCAACTGCAAATCACACAATATAAATTCAAATGAGCAAGAATATAAATTTTTAATTTGTTTTGGCCATTGAAAACTACCAAAATTATGTAAACATATATACACCCACACATACACACGCATACACAAACACATAAAGGACACATGGTTAGATAACGTAATTGTTAAAGTAAAACAAAAAATCGAAAAACAAAAATAACCGTAAGCAAATATGCAAATGCAAATTGCATCGCAAAAGTAACAAAAGCAATAGTAACAACAAAACAAAACGAAAATGGAAAAAAGAAAACAAATTCAGTCGTAAGCCGTTAGGAGACAGTACAACTCACTCACTCACTCATCAAAAACCTGTCTCCCTATCTCTATCTTTCTCTGCCGCTCACTTGGTATACCGCCAGCAGCAAGTCGATCATATGCATGCAGTGTTCAGCATGTCGTCTCGCTCTCTTACTCTCACACTCTCTTATTGTTATATTCACACTCACACTCTGTAATTCAGTTCTGTTGACTGCGGCGTTGCGCGTGCGTTGTTGCTGCTTACACTAATAATCAATGCATGGCCTCTGCATACACACACTCACACACGCATGATCCATATATTTATATGCACACACACACACATACGCACGCACGCCTACTTATAAATGATTTTTCGTGGAAAGGAAAAGGAAAAGGCTTTTGTTCTTATAAATTTGTATTGATTTTTATCGTTTTAATTGCACTTGCATTTACTTTTAAATTCACTTTGGATTTGCTAACGGTTCATTTGCGAAGTAAAAGAAGCTACACACACGCATTAACTGTAAACAAACATAATAAAAGAAAAACGTTTTAAATAATAAAACATGCAAATGTATTTGTGCTGTTGCATAATTCCTATAAGAGAAAAAACTAGGCAGAGATATCTTCTGCCACTAACAGAATCACAGTTTTCTGTTTGCCTACACAAACACCAACACACACACACACACACACATGCATACATAAGCACAAGCGCTTGACTACAAGCTTGTGCGTAAGCTGGAAAAGGAAAGAACATTCAATCAATTTGTATAAACATTGACGAAAAGGAATAAAAAATACTTACACACACCCAGTCACACAAACACATACATATATACATATTGTTAATGCAGTTTATGGTTTTTAGCATATTTCTATTCAAAATGTAAATTACTCTTAGTTTATCCGAAAATGAAAACTTTTTTTTTTAATATATGCAAAACATTTATATTTATAATGTCTAAAACATGTACTATAAAAAAGAAAAGAAACAAAAACAAAGCTTCGATTTCGATTTAACTTTTCAGTTTCACATTGCAAAGCATTAAAAAAGGGTATATAGATTTATATATAAAATTATATATGTATGCATATATATACATATATATATATATATATATATATATATATACATTTATGAATGCTGTATTTTCATAGACATGATTTCGTATTAAATGGTTAACCTAGAAATACAGTCATAGAAAGATAAATAAAATAAATAAACGCATATAAGCAAATCATAAGCAAAAATGTACTTGACATCAGCTGTAGAAGAAACTAACAAATTCACAAAAAGAAAAACTAAATAAAAATGAAATGAGAACAAATCCAATTTAGCCGCAAAAGAAAAAACAAAAACTGCTATAGAAAACGAATTGAATGAAAAGAAGCAAAACAAAATTTAATATTTACAGCATGAATCTTAAAAACTAAGTGTTTTTTTCTTAAAGGAAAAATAAAAATATGAAAAACATTGTTAATTAAACATCAAATATCATTTTAAAAAAGAATAAATTAAAATAAATTAGCAGCCGCTGTTGCTCATACTCGTAAAATTCAACTAAAGGCAATGCGCGCCTTTGCGCGACATCGCTATTTGCTGATGAAAATTCAAAAAGCACTCTCCAAAAAATTTATCGATTGTAGGGCATTTGGCTGGCCAATGCTATTCATAGATAAATATCGCATTGCATGCGATTAATTTTATGCAATTTGCAGACGCTTCATCCACATTCTTCCCAATATCGAAATGCAATCGATAACGTCGATATCTAACGCTTTCCATGCGCACATCTCTGGCTGCCGCGCATAGCTTTGAAGCTTTTTTGGTCCTAACAGTTTGCGTTTGTCTACGCACCGCATTCCATTAGTCCTGTCTGTGATGCTGTAGATGCTGTATCTCAGCACTGTAAACAAATCACGCACGTGCTATAAATAACTGTTAGTACACAGTAGCTCACTCACATATCAATTAAAACAGTGCAACTATTTAATTTTTCTGTCGATTATTAACGAAACAATCACTTGAATTTACGCGCCAATTAACATATCATAACGGAAATGCATTTACACAACTTAAAGTAAATGCCCAAGTCTTAAATGTACAATGCGTAGTCCAGGTAAGTGCTGCTGCTTGAGTCTCCTCTACGAACATAACACAATTAGCTGTGTCTTATTTTTAAACGGACACACACACACACACAGACACGCGCGCACACATGCATACAGATACACAGCTACACCCTCCTACGTATACAGTTACACGTGTAGAGTCCTCGCATTCAATGCCAACAACAATTGCAACAAGTAGCCAGCCACAATGCAAATCACACACTCACACATACATACATATGTAGACCATATACTAACACGCACAGACATGCGCTGGCTATTTAATTGCGAGCATCCGCATGCACACACACGTGCAATTGGCTTATGACCCATCTACTTATGTATCTTACATGTGTGTGGGTGTATGCTAGCGCCTTGCTACAGTAAAAAGCATTTTGCGCGCAACAATACAATTAAGTCAGGACTGCGTGCCCCCTCTCGGTAATGGCAAATATGCAGCGCCAAAAACTGTGCTACATTTTCGCGAAATTATTTTTAAAATATTTCATTATTGGCTTTTATTCATACTTTTATTTATTATTATTTTTATTATTATTATTTTTTTTTTTTTTTTAAGTATTTGAAGACCTAGGCTCTAGTTAATATTTATTTCACTTAATGTTTCTGCTTTAAACCCTGCACTCACTCAATATCGGAAATCAGAGTATAACAGTTTTGTTTAAGTGTATGTAACAGGCAGAAGGAGCCATGGCAGATCCCTTAGAGAGAATCATGTACTCCCGATCATTGCGATAAGCTTAAATGATTTAGTCTTGTACGTCTCTCCGCCCGTCCGCCTACATATGTATGGTGTATGATAATAGATATATGTACATATTTTGTAAACCGGTCACTCTGTTAAATTCCAAGATTTAGGATTTATCATGTGACGAATACATTCTTTTCTTTTTTTTCATACAATATAACAAAATATAAGCCAAATTGTCGTGCTAAAAAGGACAATTATTTCCTATATTATGTATTATTATTTTTAAATTATTTCTTTAAGTGAAAGGAATTTATACATGCATTCACTTCCTTCTAGCCGTTCGCTCTAACAGAGCGTTCACTGTAATTGCGTACACAATTTGCCTTTTCCCGTCTACCTCCCTCTCTCTCATTCATTCTATTTCTATTGTTGCTGCAGCAATCACACGAAGCTCTTTGCTAATTAGTTGCCTTGGAAAAAACATAATTTCACTCAATAAGCTGCATTTGCTTATTGTGTTACTGAAAAGGCAGCTCGGAAAGGCTTTGCCTCATTTTCCTCTAGTATATTTCTCTCTCTCTCTCTACTTCCCTCTCCCTTTCTGTCTGGCGTTTGGTGTTGCTCTAAAAGGTAACACCACACGTCAAAGCACTCGTTCAGTGCGTCTCGCCTTTCCCCTGTCCTGCTTCCTATCACACAGGGCTCATCAGCCGTAGGCCCCTCTCCCTTTACGGTGTCTACCTGCTCTGAAAGGGAAAATCCCGTCCCCATCCCCCATCTTTCCCAAAAAACAGTGGTTATCTTTCTCTCTCTCTCTGGTTCGCACTCTCTCTCTCTCTTTAGCGGTGCTATTTTTGAGCCACGCTAAGCTCTCAGCTTCAAAGCCACTCCATCTGCAGTCTAGGCAATTATTATGCGATCCAACATAATCCGCTTTGCATCTGGGCGCCTGGGCGTCTCTGCCACGCCTTCATTCGTACGCCCTAATTATGGCAAAGCCTTCAATATTTGGAAATACCTTCAGCTTTGAAATTTTTGAATGAACTTGGGTGCGTGCTAAAGCGTAACCTCAAGCCACCCACCAACCCTAAGCTGCCAAAACACCTTCGGCACAAGACCGCAACACAGACAGACACACTCTCACACACACATAGAGAACATATTTCCATAAGCATATTCAATCTACATTTGAATATAGACTTCATAAGCCGGTGCTTCAGGCGCAACAGACAGAAAATCAATAAATCGAGATTTAATGAGTTTGCAAATATTTGACAGCAGCTTCCTAACTGTCTACCTCCGTCTCTTCTACCTACCTCTCCACCCGTTAGCCACTGTCTTTTTCTTTGGGCAATATTTGACATGAGCTTCCGGTGTGTCACTTTTCGTTCCCCTCTCCTGCTGACCCTTCGTTCTTGCTCTTTCGCCCATTCTCTCTCTTTCTCTCTCTCACGCTCGATTAACAACAGCTTTCTCTGCTCTCCTCATTTTCCGAAATTGGTGCTTTCAATCAGGCCTGTCCTCTCTTCTTGACAGTTTCCTACCTTGAAAGCCGAAACTTTCACTCAACTCTCATCCCTCCCGCTCTGCTCTTGCAAAGTTTTATCCGATTTCCAACTAAGATGTTCTTGCGACAGCAACCACTTTGTATGCCTATTTATTGACAGGACACTAATCTAATGGCAGTTGTGAGAGCTCATCCATCTTCCTCTCCAGTTAACAGATGTTTTTTTTCCTCTTTGCTCCTCTCGTATCTTGTAGCTCTAGCTAAGATTTGCCCGAAAGAGAACAGGTGGTCTCTGCCCCTTTCTATTTGAAGCAGCATCGTGTCTTTGCCTCACTCGACTTCTCAACTTATTATCTTCATTTTTCTCTTCATTCTTAGTCTCTATCTCGTTCCCATATCTATAATAATTTCTTTCTATATCGTTCTCTTCTTCGCTCTACCTCACCAGGTCTTCTCCTTCCACACCTCTTTCGCAATATTCATCTGTCTCTTTATTTCTCCTTCCTTTCAACTCTCTGCCCATTGTTTTCCTCTCTCCCCTATCTCTCTCTTTCTTTTCGCTATCAATACTCCCTCTCTTCTCTCCCTCACCCTCGTTCTGGCTCTAACTATTCTTGTGACAGCAATTTCTTCCAATTTGCTCTCATCAACAGGATGGTGATGGGTGATGGGTTTCTGGGATGGTGAAGGATAGCTGTTGGCAGAATGACGACCGCCAACATTGATTACGACTATTTGCTCAAGTTCCTGGTGCTCGGTGACTCCGGCGTGGGCAAGACCTGCCTGCTCTATCAATACACAGACGGAAGGTTCCACACGCAGTTCATATCGACCGTTGGCATCGACTTTCGGGAGAAGCGGCTGGTGAGAGAGCGGCAACATCCATCTATCGCGTTCCTCCCATCCTCCCCAATCTGATATCTATTTATTTCATCAAAGGTCTACAGCTCACGTGGTAGACGACATCGCATCCACTTGCAGATTTGGGATACGGCCGGACAGGAGCGCTTCCGCTCGCTGACGACGGCTTTCTATCGGGATGCGATGGGCTTTCTACTCATCTTCGATCTGACCAGCCAGAAGTCCTTTCTGGAGATTACCAATTGGCTGGAACAGCTTCGCATGCACGCCTACACAGAAGATCCGGACGTAGTGCTCTGTGGCAACAAATGTGATCTACTGCAGCTGCGTGTCGTCAGCCGGGAGCAGGTCGCCGCTCTGGCTCAACGCTATCGTCTGCCCTACATCGAGACGAGCGCCTGCACTGGAGCCAACATACAGCAGGCGGTTGAGCTGCTCGTTGGCCGTGTTATGGAACGGATAGAGAATGCTGTCTCCAATCGTGACTTCACCCTGCTAATGGCCCAGTCCCGTAGACTGCCCAACATCGCCTACGGCCCGGATATAGTTAGACTGCATCAAGCCAATGGGAGTCCCCCTCGACGCAATCGCAACTGCAATTGCTAAACTTATCCGGTTTGCCAGATAACAATTTGGAATTTTTAACTGGATCCGTTCAATTTTTTTTGTAATTGCTCGACGAATCCAGAAAGCTGCAATTGCTTGATATATCATCTGGCTATTCAGATAACTTTTGGCCAAACTATGACAAACTTTATTCCGTTAATCCGTTTATCTATGTGTGTTGACTGTAAATAAATGTTGCTTGTTGACTAAAGGCCCCTGCTTTCAGTAATATGTCTGAAAGCCGCGGATGACTTCCAGGCGGCTATCCGGATAGCTACAGCAGCGACTAGGCTATCCGGACGGTTGCCCGCAGCTGTTGGGCCGTCATACATCAATCCGGATATTTAGTATGCAATCATCTGGTATTTATCCGCAACCAATTAAGCATATAATCAGCTAAAGCTATTTCAATTACAGCTAGAATATAGTTTATTTTCTCCTTAACCATAGCCAAAAGGCACAGCCGAACCACAGCGAGAGCAAGTGCGTCAGACTTGGAGCTGTCAGGGCGGAGTTGCCGTTGCGCTCTTCGATCCATTGATGGTAATAATGAACATCCGCATAGACGCCGGGTAGACCCGCCTCGGCGCAGCCATAGCCCCAAGAGACAACGCCAATCACGCGGCCATCGTAGACCAGGGGTCCGCCGGAGTCGCCTTGGCAGGAGTCCGTCCCACCTTTCAGCTGCCCAGCGCAGAGCATGCCTGGGAGCAGGCTGCCCAAATAGATAGTGGAGCAGGTTTTGTGACGAATCGTGGTCACATTGGCAGTGAGCAGCACATTCGAGAGCGAGCTCTGCAACGGGAGTAAATCGGTGCTTGGATAATGCAATGGATATCAATCAATATTCAATATTCAATATTCAATATCTACTGCATTGAAATATTCAATAGCTGGTTAAGGCAATCAGCTCACCTGGCTGGTGCGTCCCCAGCCGGAGACTTGGCAGGTGACCCCAGAAGGAGTCGGCTCTGTGGCCAGTTGAATGGGCGCCACAGTCGGGTGGCTGCTATTGATGGGGAGGCCGGTGCGCAGAAACATGACGCCCACATCGTCGCGCATGCTTTCCGTGGTGAAGGTGTTCATGTAGGCAATGGAGCTGACCTCGGACACAATTGTTCCATTGTTGCGCTCGAAGCGGTTGAGGGTGCCCATCACGACTACGAATTCACTTGCCTTGCGATAGCGCTTCTTCGAGGAGCTGCGGATGAAGTTGGATGAAACCCATGATCCGATTAGTTACAATAGGTCTCTCCCTACAGGCTCCCAGTAGTTTTCGTTCTATATATGCCTATAGTTTCTCTGTATATGTTCTCTTTATATCCCATGGCTGATACGGATAAAAAAGGGGAAATACGGTTCTTATCTCCCATAGACTTTCCATCTACTCTAAATGCATCTACTCTATACATGTGAGTACGCGCCTAAGGAATGAAGTTTGATATCATAAGGTACTCCCTCTCCCCCCATCTCTCTCGCCATAGATACTATACTGTTTATATCTTTATAGTTGCCATAGTGCTTTAGTTGATATTCCATAGTTTCTCTTTCCTCTCTGCATGCATCCGGATAAACAAGACTTTATCCCCTAGTTCCTCCTTTTACTCACTTGAACAAACAGTGGGCAGCAGTTAGGACCTTGTTGGGCCCTATCAAAGAGCCTCCGCAGATGTGGCCGCTGCCAAAGTTGCGATCGTTCTTCTTTAGCCTGATGGATACCATATGCTTCGTGTCTGCTACGCTGGCCAGAGTTCCATTGATAATGCGCGATTCAGGCACCTGAGCGTCTGTAAAAGAGCCTTTTTAGTAGCTGCAAATGAGAGAGGGGCAGAGAGTGAAAGTGAAGGGGAGGGGGTGTCGAATGCGCACTTGACAACTCTTGTAATCAAAAAGTTTGCTCCCCTCTCGCCCGTCCACTAGAAAAGCGGGGACGCCTTTGGCCTTGCCGCCGTATCTATTACGCTTGTTTTTTCTTTACGTCAATTTCCGCTCTGTCACAGTGGCAAGACACGACACAGCCGATGATTAAGAACCACGGCATGCATTTATCTACGAACATCGAAGTCTGAATACCCTTGGGTAGGTAAGGGGGCCCTAACATATCGATCTATTGTAACTCTGTATTACTATATATATATATATGGTTACTACCCAATAAAGTAGTGAATGAAGCGGATAAGTCGGAAGGGTAGCCGGATAAGTTATACAGACAGATGGATGTCCATATATCAATAGAGATCTGCAGATTTATTAACACCGAGGATTGGGAGTATATCGCTCTTCTTAGCGTAAGCTATATACATAGGTCATATACCTCCGTCAAATTTTGTATCGTTCCCTTCGCTATATCTATGTATATACGTATATGTCTAAATTTAGATCTACATCTATATCCTCTCATACTTTCTCTTACTTTCTCTCCCTCTTGTTCTCATATATCTCTCTGATAGACAGTACTCAATATCATATTGCTATTACAACGTTAGTTTACAATAGATCGTTCCGATAACATATGTATGTATATATAATAAAGATTTCGTCTGTTGATAACATTATCTTTATATGCAGCATATAAATGATTATTAAAAAATTCAGATATTTCCACAGTCAAATAAGAAATCAAAAACAATTTTTACAACACTTGCCGGTCTATGGCTAAGCCGTTAGAATAGAATGAGAAAGCGATAGAGAGAGTTAGAGATTACGCTTTTCCTAGAATAAAATGACTGAGGTAGTCAAAATATTTGAAAGCGCACATTAAGAACATAAATAAGAGAAAATATGGCAGAGAACAAGATAAGAAATAAGCCTAGTGTGAATTTTTCTGTCTCTCTTGGAGAGCGAGGAGAGTTAGTTGAAGGAAGAGAGAGTAAGAAATAAAGTAAGAAAGAAATTATCAATTTTTGATAAATGCAAGCGATACTCCCACAGGAAGATCCTAGAATCCCATGAATGAAATATATATATTTATAGGGATGTATGCATATATGAGTGGGTGCGTGTTTGATTCTTAGAATTGTTTGTCTTACAAATTTCTCCAGAAATAACTAGCCAACAGCAGAGATAAAGGAGACCACGCATTATAACGTTTAGACCAACGTGGACAATAACAAAAAAAAAAGAAAACAAAACAGAAAAATAAGTTAACAAATAGATGAAGGGCTCACGCCTCTTTTCTTTTTTTTTTTTTTTTTTTTTTTTTTTTTTGTTATTGTTTGTGTCACAACCGAATTTAGTCAACGCGCAGCTTGAACTGAATATTCAATGGCAATCGACAGCGGCAACGATTTGTGCTCCAATTGGCAATTGTTTTTTTACTATCAGTAAAATTATGACAGAGGTCAGATAAGAAAAAGAGTTAGAGTAAGAGAGAGATAGAGGCAGAACATGGTTTTATGACGCATACCTATACCAACTATATATCAAACATAAAATATCAAATAGATCAAACTTGGAATCGTATTTTGTGAATTTTATTTCTTTTGTAAAACTTTTTTGCACTTACAGTAAATGTTTGAATATTTGTGTATAAATAGATATGTTTAAATTGAAGATAATTAGTAAATATATATATATAGTCGAGACACAGATCTATAGATACAATCAATGTAAATAGAGATAAATGCACAAGTTGTATGACTTCGAATCTGATTTGATAGACGAATTGGGCAGATTTACAATGTATATATAATATTTATATATATATGGACGGTTTTTGGACTGATATAACTAATTATACAAGTTTGCACTACAAATTCCAAAAGGCACTTAGTTTAAATTAGAAGAAAAAAAAATAATAAAAGAGATTCAGTATGCAGAAAACGTTCTGCTTGGACGGCGTTTCGAAATGTTTGTTGTAAATGGAATTAAATTGAAGTCGAGTTGCGTTAAGTTGAATACAAAGCTTCTGCATATGGTTGATAACTATATGTAGCCCTGCAGGCTGCGCGATTGGCTATGGTGATGACGCGGTGGCTGATAGCCAGGCTCTTGCATTTCCATCTGCATCACCAGATTCTTTTGCTCGCCGCGTGCCTCGTAGGCCTGACGGGCTTCGCGCTGCAGTATGAGAGCAGCCAGGCCCAAGAGCATGAAGGTGACCACGGCCAAGGCGTACGACCAGCCAAGCACATTGAATTTCGGATACATCAGCCAATCGCGTCGATAAGCACAGCCGCCAAAGATGCAGACGGCCAAGAACATGAACAGCGCTGCAATAGGCAACAGTTAATCTATATCTACATATAGGAACACGATCTACTTACAGGACACGGCTGTGCCTATGTAGGACAAGCGTACGAGCAGCCATTCGTACTGCAGCACAGGCTTCAAGGGCAAGCGAGTGATGGTGAGCGAGAGCAGCGTCAGTACAGTGAAGACTATGATGAACGACATTGTTACAAAGCCCTGCACGGCCATCAGCCAACCAGGCAGCAGATATTCACGTATCACGTAATAATCCTAGAGCAATCGAGAAAAATTAGTGCATTAGTACAGATGTGAGATCAGAACTCCTAGATGAACATATGACTACATTAAGTATTATGCGAGCTATTGTATCATAGAAGTCAAGTACAACAAGTGCTGCGCTTGGTATATTTAGAACTTAATAGAACAGTTCTTAGATCAGTTTAGAGCAACACTTAGTACAATATAACTAATATCATGTTTTAGTACAAATTACCCATGTAGAGTTGTTTATGAGCAACAGCTACTGTTAATACACTTAATAGTATTAGATAATTTCTATACTCATTTAGCTTCAATAGCAAAATTTAGTACACTTATCAAATTTAGTTCAGTGGAGCTACTTACATGCGAGAAGATCAAATGGCAGCCTGTGAACTGCTTGGGGAATTGGTAGTTCGGATAGACAAAGTTCTTGAAACAGTATTGCCAGAGGCCCATGTTTTTGAAGCTGCTGCGTGTCTCCTCATACGATTCGATCCAATACGGTGAGCAGAAGGACATCATCAATACAAAGAAGCTGGCAAAGGTGACAATTGCTCCAAATACGACTCCATCTGCAGGCACACACAAACACATGCAAATACAGTTATTTGTTCAGCTATAAACAACAAACGTTGGCTGCGTCACTCACTTGTCGCACGCGGGTAGTCGCCCTTCTCCACACTTGTGTCGGTGGTGTCCTGCGACTGCTGTTTGCCCAAATTGCGCATTGCGAAGGCACTTTATTTACAATATGAAAGAAAAACTAGATTTACAAACTATAAACAACTGAAAAACAAATTAGTTCGTTGCACACACCCAACTGCAAGGTGGGGCTAGGGATGACAAAAGTGAAGCGATGCTTACGATAGTAGCGATACTAGCGATAATAACCGCCGTATCGGAATTGAAGATTGTAGTGGCATTTTTCAGATTAGACACTTTTCATATAGAAGTTGTATTCAAATTGATTTAAAAAAATAATTATGCACCTCATATACGAAAAGTTGAAGTAAGGTAGTACATGTTTAAATAATCAATTGCTTATGCGATGTTTAATCTGCCGATCCCACTAGATATTTGTTGTTTTATCGATATTCAGTATATTTCTTGTCCTTTTTTTTTTTTTTAGATCCGCTGGCCACACTTTAGCCTAGTTTACCAGTAGTTTATCTTCCTTATTTTATTAAAGCTAATATTTACAATAACAAACAAGTAAAACACAATTAAATAACTTGATCCACTTCATGGTGCTCCAAGTGTTTCATATAAGCCAAAAAACATGTCCAGCACAAGCTGCAGACACTAATAAAAGGCACACGGTTCCGTTCAGGTATCAACGAAAAGTTGATGGTGGCTACCAAAGGCCAAACGGCTAAAGCGACCTGATTGGTATAAAAAAAAGATATACGTATATAGTACATATATAATTATTGGAATAAATACCTTATAGGTGGGCAGAAACTTTTTGCCAACCTCGGCGACAGCTTCTTGCACCGTCTTTGACTCCAGCAAGCTCATGATGAAATAGAAGCAGGTCATCGCGGCGGGCGTATACGAAATGGTCTCTACGGCGGCTTTAATAACGCCATAGCGTAGCGAAGTGTGTGGCCACATAGCACTGGAGATCTGTGAAGGAAAACCGATATACATAGAAATCGGCAATGTAACTGCAAAGTTACCTTCACCCAGCCATAGAGCGTGGGCGCCACAAACAATCCACCGTACATGCTGAAGCGAAAGACGCGCCACCAGTCGTAATTGCCTGCATCGAAAACATATCCACTTTAGACATGTATATTATTCGTATATGAGTGAAACTCACCCCAACGCTTGCCCTCAAATGTCTGCTGTATCAGGCTGCCCGTGGGCCAGATCAAGCTATACGATATCATACCACGCGCAATGGGATATCGCACGATGAAGCTCTTCAGCTGTTGCCACAGCACTGAGGAAGCCATCTCCCTGCCTGTGTGTGATTGAATGCGTAATTAATGTAAATACATGTTAATCAATTCACGCCTTCAGCTTGCAGAAACCCAAAGGCCAATTGACCTACTAGCATGCGGGCTTACTAGTTTAGCGTAAAAGCCCCGCTGGGAGACGGCTTAAATAAATGCAATGGCTGTCTGCCAAGCTCTAATCAAATAACATGGCACGCCTTTGGTGTACACTGCTTCTAATTGTGATTGGATTGCTGCTCAGCGGAGAGGCTACAGGAGAAGCAGGAGCAGGAGAAGAACTGCAGGGTGGCCACGGCAATGTTTCCAATGGAGAAGTAGCAGAAGGAGAGAATCATGATAAAGCAGTAGCAGGAGCGGCAGAAGATCAGCAGGATGGCAAGATAGTGAATGGCACGCTAGCTGCCCAAGGCGAGTTTCCCTATATCGTAAGAAAATCCAATGAATTATCAGAGGAGCTCTATTCACACACTCTCTTCCTCTTCAGTTGTCACTGCGCCGTGCCAAAACGGGCGCGCACTCTTGTGGAGCGACATTGTTGAACTCGCGCTGGGTGCTGACAGCGGCGCATTGCGTGCGTGGCTCGAAGCCGGAGCAGTTGAATCTGCAGTATGGTAGCAATCAAATTGACCGCAATGCCAGCCAGCTGGCCTGGATAGCGGCCATACACGTGCATCCCGGATACGAGCCGGAGGACAAGTACATACATGACATAGCGCTGCTGCAGCTAAAGGTGCCCATCCTCTATAGCCGCAGTGTGCAGCCTGTCCGGCTGCCCGAGCCACTGCAGCAAATAGAAGAGAATAGCAGCGCCGTGCTCGCTGGCTGGGGCTTGAATGCGGTTCGTAATCAGCATCATCACTGACCTCGTGCCCTAACCATCAATTCCTTCTTTCCACTTTGCAGACCGGAGGCGCGCTGCAAGTGAAGCTGCAGAAGGCGCAGCTGCACGTATTCAGCGACGAGGAGTGCAGTCGGCGTCATCAGACGCAGCTGCATCGGAGCCAGCTCTGCGCTGGCCTGCCCGAGGGCTGGAAGGGTCAGTGCAGTGGCGATTCGGGTGGCCCACTGCTGCTGCCCGCCTTGGACACCCAAATCGGCATCGTCTCATGGAGTGTGAAGCCCTGCACACGTCCACCCTACCCGGGCGTCTTTACCGAAGTCTCCGCCTACGTTGATTGGATACGGCAGACAGTGGGTCGGCATGACCCACAGCATTCACGGCTCTGGATTGGCAACCTGATTGTGGCACGCGAGCCACCTCCACTCGACACCAATTAACACGTTTGTACTTAAATGCATTTTATTCACCTAAACAACAATTTGTTCTAAATTAAAAACAAACCCTTTTATATACAATAGAATAGCAAAGTCTTGAATCGGTCTACAGCAACAGCCGCAGCTGTCTACATTTGGTCTCCAGCAGCTGCACCTGCTTCTAGCTGTCTTCTGCTCCAAGCGGAAGATGGTCTACTCCTAATCCTGCCCTTATATATGGAATAACAAGTAAAAATGTCAGAGCTGCTTGGGTTCCTAAATGAAAACAAGGACCGCATCCTGTTTGGTCTCTGATAGCTGCTGCTGCTGTCTCCCTAGCCTCATCTGCATCTCCTGCCTTCCCTGTAGCTGCTGCACTGGGTCAACTTCTTCGCGTGCTTCCTCTCTTCTATGATCAAAAAACAGAACAGCTATATAAGCAGCTCGATCTCTTTTGGCTGAGGATGCTTTCCCTGCTCCCTATCCTGTACCTGTTCGTGTTCCGGCTCCATTTTTTGCGTTTTCATGTATGCCAAGAATATAGTCCAAAGAAGGCTGCAAAAGCTGACGAAGATAACGCGATTGTGCTCCGGTACTAGCGAAAAGTTAATGGTCTGTATAATGGGCCAACAACAGACGCCCACCTGTCAAGGATGAAGCCAAGTTAGATACTGACTACGTGCGGCTACGGCCTCAAAGCCAGCTAACCTTGTATGTGGGCAGGGCCTTCTCCTTGGTCTCGGCAACGGCTTGCTGAAAGGTCTTCAGCTCCAACAGGCTCATGCCCATGAAGAAGCTAACGCAGGCAAAGGGGCCATAGGACAGTTGCTCCGTTGCGGCCTGGAATGTTCAGTTAAGAAGTTTGGCAACCTGTCAGCCATGTCGATCCGGCAGCACTCTTACTCACCTTGAGCAGGCCAATGCGCAGATTCGTCTGCGGCCACATGGCACTGGTGAGGCGCACCCAGCCATAGAGGGTGGGCGCCACATAGAGGCTGCCAAACAGACTAAAGCGAAGCGCACGTGCCCAATCGTATGTCTCTGGGAAGGGAAGGAAAATTGGAATTGGATATTGGATAATAGATAATGGACATTGGATTTATCTTGGAGCAATCCCTTGTGGACTTACTGAAATTGCGTCCCTCTATTGTCTGCTGGATGAGGCTGCCCGTGGGCCACAGCAGGGCATAGGTCATCATGCCCTTGGCCATGGGGTGCATTTTTGACAACAGTTTAGCCGGCATTTAATCAGTCTAAACACTAACTAAACTAAGGAGCAGGCACTGAGGAGCAAAAGCGTTAAATAGACACGTTGGCAAGGCAAAGGCAAAGACAACGACGAGGTCGACATCGACGGCGACTACATTGACACACACACATCAATATAAACAATATATCATGCCTAATTGAGCATATGGCTCATAATTATACCCTTCCCTCGTTAAGATATGTCAAGGCCGAAACATTTGGCTCAGAGGGGAGCAGGAGAAGCTTTATTCATTCAAATAGACATTATATTGAACGTACATATGTATATATCCACAAATATGTATACTATATACAAAAATATCTCCCTTTATACTACAGATGCACATATACATATGTATATATGTGTGCATGTGTAGAATGAAAAGCGTGCATGCAATTGACCCCTGGGCCTCGCGTGCCGAAGCTTGCGGTATTGAGTTGTACTTGCGTTTTTGTTTGTCTTTGTGTTTGCTTTTGCTTTTGGTTTTGCTGTGCTGTCAGCTGTTTCGTGAAGGCAGGCGCGCAATTTGATGCTGCACTTATTCTCACTGTATTTGAACTTAAATTTGTTAACAAATTTATATATATTTGCGACCAAATGTCACTATGGTTGCACGCATACTGAAAGCTACAAATAGTTCGCGACCAAAAAAAATTAAATAATACAATTGTCATTGAAAATGCATTTTGTTGCACGATCGTGCAAAAGCTTTTCCGTTTCCTCAATTTTTTTTGGCAGTTGACAGTTGGGGACGGACGTAGCGGATGTCAAGGGTGTGTGAATACACTGTAATAGAAATTTGTATGTGTCAAAAAATAAAATGATACAATATGGCCAAAGTCTTAAGCAAATTTCCTACCGGGAAACTTGCTTATTTATTAATGCTGCCTTTTAGGAAATTGGCGAAGCACATTTACATATGCATGTTCATATGGGGATGTTGCTATTTATATACATATATGTATATGTGTATATGTATGTGTGTGTGTGTGTGTAGGTGCTTACAGCAATTCAATGGATATAATTGCCATGAATTATTATTAAACTTGTTATTCATATGCACACATGTAGAAATGCACATATTAAAGTGATCGATTTCAGCACATTAGATTTGCTAACGGGGCGGCACTTTGCCTGTGTCATAACAAACGTTACGCATGCACACAGTCACACTTACGCACAGCTAATATGCGTGTTATGTGTTTGGATGCTGCTCTGCAGATTTATGCGAATCGGCATTTACAAGCGCGATAAGCTACAGATAAGTTATATGTGTGTATCTATGTAGAAAAGCCTTGGCCGTCGTGTTGCCACCTTGTAAAACGCGTACTCACATATGTAAGCGAACACACACACATGCGTATGCTTATGTGTGTTTTGCTTAAGTTAGAAATGAATTAAACTTATTGTTATGTCAGTTTTTAGTACTATGTGCATAGGACGCCAGAGACGCCAGGACGTCGCTGTTGCGCTGCTTACTGCAATGAACTAAATAACAAAAATGTTTTGCGTCAGCTGTGTGCGCGTGCTGATGGCTGAAAGCTGCGAGAGCTTTTGAAGCCCTCTAAGTCTGTGTGTGTATGTAATGATGAACTAAAGAACTAAATTGAGTGGTTTGATAGCTGAAAGCTCCACAAATTTTGGTGATCTAAACGGTTGGATACCTTACAAGTATGATCTAAATTGTTGCGAGCGTTTTTAATACTAAATAATTGGTCATATCGGATATATAGACTAAATGTGACCGTTATATTTAAAATGTCCAAGATATTTCAATAACACGCATTCGTTTTAGTGTATTGGGGATCGAGCAAGAGGAACCAAGCATCAGTTAGCATCGCCTCCCTTTACATCCTGCACATCGTGCGTTGTGCTCTGAACAGCGGCCACCTGTTTATTGAAGACAAAAGTGTGATATGTTTTTGCCAAGGCAGCGCACTTCAACGGCTCCTTGCCGTACTGGCGATAGCAGCTTATCAATTGCTTTTCCATTTTATCGATATCTGCCGAGCACTCGTTGGCCTTGGCCCATTTAATTGGCTGTCCGAACAAATTGTGCACACGATCTAATGTTTTAGTAAATTGTGCCTCCTCAATTTCAGTTGAGCGCCGTGCCCACGATGAAGAGATTTCCATCTGCTTTTGCTGATAAGCTTGCATCTCATCGCTGCTGCTCGTTCCAGCTGCATCTCCAGCTGCTGCACTTTTACAATTACATTGCTCACAGGTGGAAGCAACGGATACTTGAACTGGATTTGTAACGGCAACGGGCCCCTTTTCTGCCTTGGTTGCCTTCTCGACGCGCTCCAAAACTTCCCGGCTGATTTGAAATGGTGATGTATTTGGTATTTGCACAGTTTGTGGTTTGCTATTGTTGGCGCCCATATCGAAACTTATTCAAACAAAAAAATTGGTATAAATATATCGTGCGCGATTCGTAAAGAAATTTTTAGTTTTCATAAAAATTGAATATATATATAATATTATAAGTCTGATAACTCAAATTGAATTTTAAATACATGCAGTCAGTATATTATTTTTGCGTCAGGGCATACTTTTGCTTTGAAATATAAATATACAGATCGATATAACTAAAATATATCGATTGGTCGCCGCAATTCAAGTACAAGCAAAAACTAAACGATTATAAAGTACAATTTTAATTGGCATACAGCAAATTTACAAATGCATTTTTTTGACTATTATTTATATTAAACTATCTTTATATCACGAATAAATATATACACTTTCATATATGTATACATATATATAGGGAGAGGGGTGATCAGTCAAAGTGGAATTGTAAAATATTCATAACAATTCACTTTCAATTCTCAATAAATAAAAGTATATTTTTTAAAATAGATACATCGATACGCGTAATATTAATCGATAGAGATCGCGATTCGTACACATGCAACATTGCTGTTTCCCCATAGCGCATCAACCAAACATTAATTTCGCTTATTGTTGCCTGTGTTAAGAAACTCATTCAAAATGCACGAAGAAGAAACAGCAGAGCGTCCAGGTAAATAAATAAAGTGGTTTTATCAATTCGTTTTATATGTACATAAGTCCTCTTAGTGTCGTCCAGCCAATTGTTTCGACGGTTTCTGCAATGCATGGAAGATGGCCAAATACGCAGGGAGCTGTCCGATGATTGTATTTTATCTTTTCTCGGACGCTGCGTAAAGGGCGCTGGACCTGTATCAAGTTATATGCGCGCACAACTCGTAGGACGCTATAATCATATGGAGTTTTTGGATGCGCGGCAATGTAATGAATCAGAGGAATCCGCGCTCAAAGAGCGCTTCAGGCGTAGCTTTCAATTGCTGCGCAGTCGATTTAAGCAGCCAGATGTGTTGCCCACATCGATGCATTTGCGTGCCGAAAGCGACGAAGAGGTAGAAGAGGAGGAGGAGACTGCAAGTGCAATCTGTGTCAAACAATTGGTAACACCCCCGCGCTGTGCACCGGCTGACGGCATCGAGCTGATGCACTGTATCACAGCCAGCGGATCACTGCAGGCATCGCATAAGCATAGCGACGGCGGCATTGAACTAAGCGGAAACTGTCAGATGTCATTAACGCTAGGCTATCGTGGCAATACACTTGGACACAAAGATGATACCTCTAGTGACATTTGCCTGATTGTCTACGAGAAGGTGAGGCTTAGGACTCCCACTGTGCAACGTCATTCGCGGATGCGAAGCGCACGAAATGTATTAACCGACGATGAAGGCGAGGTGCCGGCACCTCGGAGCGTCCGTCGAACGCTCTTCAGCAACACCGATGACTGCGATGAAGATGCAGTGCAGCCGGCCATAGATGATAATTCACCTCTTCTGCTGCCGCGCAAGCGCCAACATAAGGGCGATTCGAGTGCGAGGAAAACTAAACGCTCAAATGTACTTGGCGGTATGCGCTTTTAGGGGTGTTCCATTATTGGATTCATCGATAATTCGTCGGAATTAGCATTAGCTCGCAGCGTACCAAACGTAATTATATAATTCAAGTGGCGCCCATTTTGGATGGTGCTTGCGAAGACTGAGTCCACCCGAAAAGATTTTACATATATTAACAAATGATGTTCTGTACGATGGACTGTTAGCGTACTAAGTTACTTCAAACATATACACTTACTATGTATATTAATTATATTTTTTGTAATTTATTAGGTGTTATAATAAAATTCAAATATATCCAAGCGATTGACAGATTGATCTATTTGTATATCTCTGGCAAATAGCTATTAAGAATTTTCAATTAGCATTCAAGCATCCAATTTGAAACGTTCGACATTGTAGTTCGTTACATAGCAAAATATTTTTAACAATCATGATCATCCTGTTTTGATCACTTGCAGCTGAAATTGAAATGCAACCGTTTAATCGATGAATCCGCACTCAAACTATCGATACTCGTTGAGCAACTCTATAAATTGAAAGTGTGCTTGTCTTTGTTTTCGTATTGTTTGAATTTTTAGCGACGCGTTATACTTATCCAGTAATATGGCTAATATAAGTAATAACGAATACAAGAAGACCGATTTCGACTGGAACGAAATAAGCGTTGGCGATTATAATTTAGATCATTCGCAAAACTTCTTTGGTATGTACATAAAACTTACATACAATTTACAGTTAACTCAACAAAAAAATGCGCCATTTTAGCAGCTGCTTCTTCAAACAAGGCGAACGCGCTGGGTGATACAATAGATTTTATGGATAATTATAATAATTCGAAGAGTGGAAATTTGAATAGCGACTGGAATGAACCCAAGACGGCCGACTATAAAATGGAATATTCAAACGATTTGAGCGGTATGACGAATTAAGGTGGTTCAATTTACATTCAATGTTGTAATCCATATATAATCATTTGTTTAGCGCTAGCTTCCACTTCCAACAAGGAAAACATGGGCGATCAACTGAACTGGAACAATGAGAAGATGACGCGGGAGCAACAGGATAGATCAGTTTGTGACCAAAATTTAAATGATGATGACATAGTAAAGCTAAATACTTCTGAACTGCTTCGCGAGAATGCGCTACAGGATAAACCAGTTTGTGATCAGAATTTAAATGTAGAAGATATAGTAAAGCTGCGAACTATTGAACGGCTTGGCGAGGATGGACCAGAGGATAAATCAGCTTGTGATCCGTATTTAAATGAAGGGAATACCAGCGATGGTAAAGCTGAACAAGAGGAGAAAGAGGATCAATCCGCATCTTATCAAAACTTGAATGAAGATTATATAGTACACATTGAATCTGAGCTTCAGTTACAGCTGCAATTGGATTTGTCAACAGATTCCCATCAAGCCGAAGGAGACAAAGTGGAATCGTTGCCGATTCCCAAACAAGCAGAATCAATAAGTGACCAGGAGATGGAGGTGAATGAGATACTTGGATTGAAGCCCAGGCTGAAACTCAACTGGACACCCAAACCGAAAAATCAAAGCGAGCCAGTGTCTGCCGGAAAGGCGCCCAGGGTTTACGAATGCAAGGATGTTTATCAGATGAAGCGGGAGATGATTATGCGCCAGCGAGAGGAAGAGGAGCGTAAGGCGCGTGAGTTCCACAGCAAACCGGTGCCAAATTTTAAGGCATTGCACAAACGTTTGGCGGACACAATAGTTACCCATAAGATAACAGTGCCTGTGACGCCAGAAACATTAAAGCATTCCTACGAGCATTTGCAGCGGCGAAAAAGCAGGGAAGAGGTAAGACTCAAATGCACAAATGTTGATATTGTTATCATAAAGCATCTATTTAATTCTCTCGCCAAGAATTCGAAATTGTTGCAACAGGAACATGACAATGCCAGAAATTTACGAAGAGCTGGCCTCGCCGAAGTGAAGCCATTTCAGTTGCGTGCCGATCAGCGCGTGCGCGAACGGCGCGAGTATAATAATGTTGTTCAGTGTAATCTGGATGAGAAAAAGAAACAGGTAAATATTGAGCTGTTGGTATCAAAATTAAATGAAAATTGTATGGGCTGGTCACACACTATCACTGCACAGTGTTGCATGTTGTGGTCAATGCAACACTGCGATAATTATGCATTAGTGCTCAACACTGCGTTAACATAGCTATGCAGCGACTCATTGTTGCGTTAGCAGCTGCCATTCAGCAGATGAGGCGAAATTGAAGTTTTGAGCAACTCAGTTTTAATTTGATCGCTAGTTGAGTAAAAAATCAGAAGAAGAAAAGTCAACACACTACATGAGTTGAAGTAGGCTCTCTAAGTGAAACCATACAGAAAGAAGAGAAACACAAATCAAAAAAAAAAAAAAGCAAAAAATTATATATTAATTCGTGTACTACTGCATATTGTGCACATATGTATGTATGCATACTTGTTGTTTGTGTGTGGTGTGAGTCATGACGTTTCGGTAAACGGACGGCGTAGAAAACAGTTATATTGTGCACATATATATTCATATATATATTGCATAAAGGGCGCAACGCGTGACTAAAAAAAAAAGGAAATTTCGGTAGCAACGAAACGAAGCACAAAACTCGACATTATAGTAAAAAGGACACAAAGCAGCTGCTGCGCCCAAATTCACACACACAAACACAGATATATAAGTATAAATATATATATAAATATATATATGTGGACACACACACACACACAGTCACATACACATACTTGGAGCAACATCAACAACAACAAAAACAACATTAGTTGTCGCCGTCGCCGTCGTCGTCACAGTTGAAGTACGCCACGGCCAGTGAAGCAACAGTCTGTAGAAAAAAAGAGAAAAAAAACAACTGTAAACTCTAAACTGTAAACAAAGCTTTTGGCCAAACGGATAGGTGGCGCCACTTTCGCTGCAGCAAGCAAGAGAAAAGAAGAAGCAAAATGGTTGATCGTCTCGTTAACTCGGAATTGAACACCCGTCGCATTGCCTCCGTCGAGAACTGCTTTGGTAGCTCCGGTGTGCCGCTGGCGATACCCGGACGTGTTCTAGTCGGCGAAGGTGTTCTGACCAAAATGTGCCGCAAACGTCCAAAGTCGCGGCAATTCTTTCTCTTCAACGACATACTGGTCTATGGCAACATTGTGATTGGCAAGAAAAAGTACAACAAGCAGCATATAATGCCGCTCGAGGAGGTTTCCCTGGACTCGATACCCGACAACCAGCAGTACCGCAATGGCTGGTACATACGCACCACGACGAAGTCCTTCGTCGTCTATGCCGCCACCAGCACAGAGAAGCAGGAATGGATGGCCCATATAAACAAATGCGTGGAGGATCTGTTGCGCAAGAGCGGCAAGAAACCGCCGGGAAACCACGCCGCTGTTTGGGTGCCCGATGCCGAGGCCAGCGTCTGCATGCACTGCAAGAAGACGCAGTTTACATTTGTCCAGCGGCGTCATCATTGCCGAAACTGCGGCGCTGTCGTTTGCGCCGCCTGTTCCACCAAGAAGTTCCTCTTGCCCCAGCAAACTGGCAAAGCGCTGAGGGTGTGCGATGCTTGCTACGAACGCTTGCGCCACGCTCCCGATCCGGACGGCACCGTGGAGCAGCGGGCCTCGAAGCTAAACATAAGTGGAGCAGGGGACAGCTCGAATGACGATGATACCGACGAGGATCTGCCGGGTTCGGCTGAGACGCATGATGAGCCACGCTTTTACGGCGACAACAGCATGTCCACGGCGGATGAGCAGACGGCTAATTCATCAGCGATTGCAGCAACGACAACAACAACAACACCTGCCACAGCCACCGCCTCCGCCGCTGCCCCCGCTTCAGTCAATTGCTGAGCCTGAAGCCACAAATGCTGTGTATAACAGTTTTGGAAGAAAAACAAAACAGAATACGATGCTGGCAAACTGAATGCGAACTGGATTACTGGTACTACTCAAGAATCATATATATGTATATGTATAGATAGAGGGGGAGTCATACGCAAATTCATACACAGGGGGATATGCACATATACATATAGAGCTCTCTCTGTCCACGTCCGTTGCGTATAAGAAAATATTTGATATGATGATTCGCATACGTCTTTGCCTTGCCTTGCTTGCCTCGAATTCCATTTCAAGTTTTATGCTAATCTTATCAGCTTCAGTGGCTGCTGTTGCCGCTGTTGCTGTTGCTAGATAATTGTTATACACTGTTCAATGAGCGAGCATTGAGTATATACATTTCCTGTGTCTGTCTTAGAGATTGGGCTAAATAAGTATATGATGCATCATAACAGTTTATTTAGGGCATATAAAAGCATAGGTATAACTTTTTTAAACTGGCAAAATAGCGAAGTCTAGCAAAAGATATGGTTCACATAACAGTTTACATATAACACTTTTTACACACAGCTTAAACAAATATGTCTAATAGCTTGCATATAGCAGCTGCCTCATATAACAGGTTAATAAAATATGTATAACAACTCTCCCACGAAAGCTCCCATATCGAAGTCGCCTCTCAGCTCTAGCGAAATTGTCCTACAGCCGATCTATGTATATGTGATTTGTTTTTATCTTGCTTTCTTCCTGTCATATGCATATACATATGTACGTACGAAGCGAATTGGCACATGCATGCAGACGCACACATACTAATTGCTGTCACATGCTCTCTTGCGCGCTCTCTGTTTCTCAGCTTACTAACTGTTCCTTTCGATTGGACTCCTTTGCAGTTCATGCATGCATAGAGCATGCAAGGCCACAGGCACATGCGCTATCTCGGTCGCACTGTCATCATTCAAGCTTGTTTTGCATATTGCATTTTGTTCTATTTGTTTGCAATCTACACATTCATTCACACACAATATTACTACACGCGCTCACATACACACACACGTGCACCGACTCGCCCATCACATGCACTGTCTCTCTCTCTCTCTCTCACTCTGATACATTGATGTAGTTCTTTGTATTTCGTTCAACTCATTTGCATTGACACACAATACAAATGCAATCATAATTGTTACTCATAAATGAATATATATAAAACTATGTTCCATGTCTGAGACCAGACCTAGCATCAGCTGATTACATGTTTTCTTCGCTGCCAGCAAAGCCAAAGTGCGCCAGAGCTGGAGCTAGAGCTCAAAGTTATTTTGCGTGCACAGAAACACCTGAAGGCAACACTCGGATATGTTTTTTACTAAAAATTCCTATTCTGTTAGTCAGATTCGTCCGAAACTAGATTGCCGTTTGCTTGTTGCCTTCTCAGAGCTTTCACTGTGCTTTGTACGGTTCGTTTCATTTCTGTGTTGCCTGTCTTCTGCCTTCAATGGATCACTTCAGGTATTCATCACATGAATGATCCACCTAACTATTCGCTTTAATTGAGCGAGTAAGCCGAAAGAGCAAAGTGCATAAAGTGAGTATATTACTCAATTTGCGTATATGTAGAACGGGGCTGTGGTGGAGTGGGATGAAAAAAGAGGAGCTTTTGTACACTCCAGTTAATTAAAAAATAACATGATAGACAGAGAGAGAGAGAGAGAGAGAGTAAGGACATTTCTCTACCTAAGTAACCTGATTTAAGTAAACTAATTAAATCCTTGTTCCAATTTCTACAATTATGATTTATCTCTTCTATTCTTCTAGCAAGACGAACAACGCAAGCAACGAGAAATGGAGGAAGTTAAGGAACTGCGCAAAATGACGGAATTTAAAGCTCGTCCAAATCCATTTAAATAACTAAATTACAATAAATAATAATAATAATTAAAAAAAAAAAAAAACAATAATAATAATATTAATAATAATAATCACACTCACACACATATACACGCATATATATTTTTTCTAAATAATATTTTGTTTTTTTTTTTTTTCTCTTGAGTTCCGATATTCTAATGAATCATTGCTTATATAGAACAGATATATAGAACAGATTTTGAACCTTAAACAAATCTCATTAAAATTTGTGTAATTGTTTTTAATATATAATTAAGAGCGAGACTCAGAAGTTATATGTATATAAATATATATTATTGATCATTCTTTCATTTATTCAGTTTGGGTTTACGGTATTCGCAGTTCTAGTTAACATAATTATATATAGTATATATATATGTGTGTGTATTTATCTTTTTTTTTTGTGTCTCAATCTGTTGGATTGTAGAGCTCTTGTATATCTATATAACTAAGCAATGATTAACTGTTTTCTATTTGTATAAAGCAAAACAAAAAAATAAAATAAATTTATTAATACTGTAACGACTTTTTTAATATATACGAACATACATATACATATATATCAACGTTGTTCTAGAAGTATTCGAAATCCTTAATAGTGGAATTATTCGCTTATTTCGCTGGGTATACACCCAAAAGGTTTCGACACATCAGCTGGCCTTACTTCAAGCTATGAAATGCAGAAGCAAGCAATTACTGACTCAAGCTACACACTACTACATACTATAAGTATGGATGAAAACAGTAGATGTGGGAGGTTTTTATAAATACCTTCGACACATTTGCTGAACTCAGAATATCATTCACTCACTCCTTTGAAGCAACTACTTTTAGATTGCTATAAATATTCATATGTACAAATGCTAAGCTAAACTACAAATATAGCCCTTGACTGATGGAAATGTACATACATATATCCGACGTAATTTCGTCTTTTGGAACGTTTTTGTGCATGTTGCCGCACTGCTCTAATGCATGACACCTTAGGTCAATATTAGTACTACCTCGCTCACAGCCGACTGACGCCATCTTTTGTTTGTAAATAGAAACACATGTGCTTTGTTTTTTGAGAAATGAATGTTGGCATTTATTTATGCTTGACAGTTCGTTTAGGCCGCTTTTGGCCGGGTGAACATTTTAGAACTGGCCATCGCTGCCCCAGGATGTCTTGACGGTATCTTCGTTCCAGTCCTCGACTCCGCCGACAGTTTCGGCAGCAACCTCATCGGCCCAGTTGGTGGTCTCTTCGACGGGATGATCGACGGCTTCCTCGATCTTGGGTGGTGGCAGCAGCTCCTTGGCCGCTGCAGCCTCCTCCTTCTCAGCCTCCTCGGGATCGCGATAGAAGAAGAGATCCACAACTACGGGCCACTCGGTGGTGCGAGAAATGGTACCGCGCAGACGGAGCACCTCACGGGCCAACAACCACCACATAAGACCAATCGAATGGGGCGATTTGTTGTTGCATGGGATAGCAATGTCAATATAGCGCAATGGCGAGTCCGTATTGGTGAACGCAATAACGGGAATGTTCACGTACGACGCCTCCATAATGGGCTGATGATCGGTGTTGGGATCGGTGACAACCAACAGACGTGGCTCGCGGAAAGCGGGCTGGATCTGATTGGTGAAGGCACCGGGCGTGAAGCGGCCAGCAATGGGTGTGGTGTCCGTGTACTTGGCGAACTTCAGCACAGCGCGCTGGCCAATGGGACGCGACGAGATGACGAAGACCTGCAATCAAAATGCGAAATTATAACGCCGCTTACTCAAATAGCAGAGACACAGCATTTACAGTGTGGCCAGTCAAATGTATGTATGCTGTGTTTGGGCGTATCAGTTGAAAAGTTGAAATCATTGAATTTCATACCCGAAAGATTAGATAAATCTCATCATGTGCACCAAACGCAACAAGCATACCATCGATAAGCAAATACATATGTATAATTCATTTGTTACTCACATCGGATGCATTCTCAATGGCCACAATGGCGCGTGCAGCCAAAACCAGTTTCTCCCACGTTTTGCCCAAATTGATGATATTCACACCATCGGCACGACGCTTGAAAACGTATTGCTCCATCTGGAAGTTGACGTTCTCGGAGCCCAGGTGAGTAGTGGCAACCAACATTTTGGTAATGTCATCCTCTTTGAGGGACAGTATATCTAAGCCTCCCGACATTTTAACGTGAAAGAGTTACGAAACCTGTAACAGAACAAGAAAAACAAATTAATTCAATTGAAATTAAGATTTTAGCTTCACTTTGCAACATAACCTAACTTCAAGAAGGCACACGTGCCACACTATACAAAAGAACACAACAAACAAATGCAAAAAATATTAAACAACCAAATATGAATCTGAATTGCAACTGTACTGCAGTTTGTATTATTTAGAATAATTTTAAAGAATGAAAATTTAGTTTTTTAAACTAAAAAAGAAAAATCACTTTACTCACGTTGTGGATGCCGCTGGGAGCGTTGACAAAATGGACGAGTGGTGGACATCGCGAATGCCACTAGGCCTGAATAAGTGTTGATAACTGATAAAAATATCGAATAGCGTACATTGCCAGACATCGATAACACTTTCCATCTTTTCTAACTTTAATAAGTGTTGGTTAATGTATGCCGATAGTCAGCGAGTGCTACAAAGTTGGCTGCTATAGCTGTTAGGAAAACTTCGATAGCATTATTATTTAATTTATAATTTGACTATGGTAATATGGTTAAACTCCCAATATCTTTTATTGAACTAGTCTGTTCAGCTCTCGGCTTGAGTTTTATGATATTAATATGTCAGATACTTCCATAATTTGAATGTCTGCTGATGACTTGAATTAACAGCAATGTAAGTGACAGCAAGCTATTTGCTATGAACATTATAACTAAAACCCGTTAAGATTCCCACTATTTTAATTGAAATTAATGTAAAATTCGGTTTTCTGTATACACATTTATTGCAAGTTTTTTTTTTTTTTTTTTATATACGTAAATGTACGTGTTTTCGCCTTTTTTGACTACCACATCAAATGCATATTCAATAATATGGGATTTCTTTTCATTTCTGTTTTGCTTTGCCAATACAATTTCTTTTTGTGTAATTTTTGTGAAAAAATTTTTTTTGGTGAACATACATTTTCGTTGCAGATTTTATCCATTCTTTCTTTTTCCATTATTATTTTTATAATTATTATT